TAATTGTAATTTCCTTAGATAGGAGCTTTGTACTTAACTTATTATAGTAATAGTATATTATCTATTTAACTTACTCTTATTGTAATAAATAGATCTCTAAATCTATAAGTAATAATCTTACGCCTACTTCTTAATATACTAACCTTACGATAACCCTAGTCTACCCCGGGTAGAACCGAATCGTTACAATTATAACTAAAAAAAAAAAGAGAAGAATTTTAGTTACTTTATTAATAAATATTCTTTTTATATAGCTAAGCGGCCTCTTTATAGATATAGCTTTACAAGCCTCTTTCGAGAGATAGTAGTCTTTATTCTTATATAGATACGTCTAGCGATGTTAATTTGAGATTTCTTTTCTACGCGCTAACTAAATACATATAAAATTTTTGAAAGCGGGAAATCTTTAATTCCAATATACTACTAACGCCAGCTCTCTATTATATCGAGCAGAATGCATTTAATCTACTAGCCACCCCACCCATCCCTCATAATACAAATATATACAAGCCGTCCGAACCACTTCATGCACGCGGCTCTTGCGATTTCTCCCTCCCCCTCCCAGCACCAGTATTACCCACCGCACCCCCCCTCGCCTTCCCACCCCTCCCGCCTCTCCCCCTCCCTCCACTCTTTCCCCTTCCACCACCCTTTCCCCTCGCAGAACCCGACGCAGCCGGTCTACTTCTCGACTCCTCCAACTCCTGCGCCCTCTTAGACTCCAAATCCCACCACTCCTGAAACGCCTGTTCTTCTTGAATCTCCTGTAGACTTCTCTTAGCCACCGCTTCTTTGATAACCTCCTGCTCACGTCTTTGCATGCCAATGATATCCGACATCGATAGTTGCAAGGTCGGTTCGGCTTTGGCGGTAGGTGACTGATAGGATTTGGAGTGTGGGATGATTGGGGTGGAATTGACCTTTGTGATAGGCGGCGCACGCGAGGATCCGGCGACGGGTGAGTTCTTGATGGAGTTGCCAGAGCTGTTACTTCTCTGCTGGCCTGAGAAGCGAGTGTCCGGTGAGGCTGTCCTTCTTACTGGCCTGGAGGGCACCGGTGACGCTAGGGATTTTGAGTTTGATGTAGAAGCCATTGTCGCTGGGTCTACATCTAAAACGTCTTTCAATGACGTCTTTGGACCTCTGGCAGCAACCTGCCATGGAGAAGAAGACTTGTTATCGGCCATGTCAACCCTGATTTCAGGCTGAGTGAGAGCCTCTTGTTGTGCTTTTTGCTGCTGCCTCTTCCGTTCCTTCTGAGACACCTTGGATAAATTTTCTTTCTTGGTATTCTCTTCTCGAGTCTTCTGAACCGAAAGACTCATTGACAAATTCGAAGTCCTGCTCGAAGATGCTTGCGCCATGATCTCACTGAGCCCAAGTTTTGCAGATGGTAATATCGGAGAAGACCAAGTCTTTGTTGGCAAATTTCTCGCTTTCGTATTTCGTAGGCTATCAAAGTTAGGTGAGTTTTCCGGGTTGAATGAGGACGGACTGCCAAGAACTGGTGATTTTGTTTCGGGTTTGTCTGGATTGGTACGCGGGCTATCGATCGCAGCTTCTCTTGTGAACACCGGTTGCTTGTAGCTTCCAGGAGCCAAGAGTTCATCATCTTCCATATCAAACATCAAGTCGGAAGTCAATTCCTTGGCCTTGATAGATGGACTGAAAGGTTCATTTCGGGGGCTCTTCAACTTTCTTTGCGCCCTTTCCTGACTAGGGGAGCCAGCCAAAGCATCATCAACACTTCCAAACCTTGCACTCCGCGCCGAGGAAATGGTCTTGCTATCGTCAGCTCTGAGGTTCGCTCGAAACGCCATATCACGAAGTCGGCGTTGTCGTTCCTCGGTAATGTCTTCCACCAACGATGGATACATGTCAAACAGCACTCGATCCGCATGGCCACTCTTGGCGTAAGGAAGACACGCTGATTGATTCTCTCGCACCACATTATCAAGATCTACAAAAAGCTCCTCGTCAAGGTCGTTGAGGAAATGGTTTTCAAGCATTGATTCGAGTTGCAAGCACACATATTCCAAAGCTTTATCCTTGAACTCAGTGACAGAGCAAGGAGCAACTGCGTTAAGTAGGTGACATACATTTCTGGAATTGACTATTCAATCATCAGCTTCGCACAGTTATCGCAGAGATTTGAGTTCACTCACCGAAACGACCGATGACCTCCTGACAAACTTGCGACAGACGATCAATCATAAGTTCATCGGCTACAGCCATAACTGCCATTACAAGGTCCGAGAATTCGTCGAGATCATCAACATTGACATCGTCAAAAAGTTCGGAACCAACATCTGCATAGAGATAGCGAAGAACGAGTTCAAAAACGGGTGGCTCAACGTGTTTCAAGTCTACTCGGATAGCACTTGAACTAACTTCACGTCGACCATCTAACCATTGCCCGCCTGCTCGGCCGTTAAACAGACCATCGAAAAATGGGCATCTTTGACAAAGCAGAGCTGAATGGACAAGAACCTCAGATCCATCTAATTCAATGATAAGATCACCATCTTCGAAGAAGGTAGGGTCTTGAATAGCCAGACCGAGATCCTTGTTCAGAAGGGGTCTTGGAAAAGTCTGCAGGCGCACGGAAGCCTCAAGTTGAGTCAACTTAAGATGAGCAGCGGTTTTCATGAGCTCCACACGAACTTGTCTGAATCTGAAGGCCATGTCTGGATAGTGTCTGGTATATTGCCAAACGTCCACAACCTGATCAGTGTAGAGGTATATTGCCAAGTTCAGAATCGTGATAAAGTCAAGACCATGGAAAATCATATTGATTCGTTCTTTTCCTCCAACCCCGGGTGATCCGTTTGAAATCGTCAATACGTCGGGAATCGTAGCCTGCCCTTGCTGACGATAAATACTCAAAGCTTTGCGCAAGACTGAGCTTCGCCCAAGCATAAAGCCATGAACCGGGATTCTGACATCAGATGTGGTAGTACCAATCTCGACATCGTGGTTCCCAGTAACACCCAAAAGATGCTGGTTTACATCAGCCTCCAAATCTGGAGATGTTAAAACGGCACGTTTTAGTAGCTCGAGCAGGCTCTTGGGCAAAACCGGAGTCCAAAATCTCGGAGAGGTAGTGTCCTCCTTTTCGAAAATCTCTGACGCTTCCAGGTCGTGCAAGGCAAGTATCGGATTCAGGTCATCCCACAATTTGGGTTCTTCAATCGTCATCTGTGTTCGAGTGATATCGCAGTCTTTGCGAATTGCAGCATATACTCCAAAGGCCGTACTCCGCACGGCGGCTACATTTGTAAGTCCAGGAACTCGCTGGAATTTGAAATCTTTTTGGTGAAACGTTCCGGCATTAGCAAAAGCATCCTTGGCACTACTACGCGTTACACGACGCCATACCGCACCAGCTTGAGTACAGACAATGACTGAACCATTTTCCGTTACAGAAGCTGATTTAATACCGTCCCAGTGACCCTTCCGGAGAGACCAAACTCGCTGTGGCGCGGTCAATGAGTCTCTAATCTTGGATGGATTAGTTGTGCTTGCTGCAGAGCTTGCATCCACAGTGCCAACATTTACAGTGAACAAGCTTTGCGTAGAGAATGCTGCTATAGTGTCACCTGCTGCGGTAATGCTCTTGATGTTGTCTGCCGACGAATCATATCGAGTCATCAGAGAGTTGGTCTGTAAGTGGTAATTGCGAAAAACATCGCTGGGCGGGAATTTCAGGAACTTGTAACCATAATTGGTGAAAACACAAACAGCATGATTCTCGAGCAGAACGATTGTAGCGCGATTGATGGCTGCAACCATGACGATTGGTGACTTGAAGAGCGACGCAGCCACCCTTCGAGGAACGATCTGAATCTCCAAACTCCGAGAATCCGAGTCGGTCAATCCAAGTTGACCCTCGTTCCGGCCCCATGTAAACAAAGAAGTTGATGTGCATGCTACAGAGTGTATAGCCGACGCTGCGACGCCAATAATCATTTCTCTTTTTAGAGGACCGAATATTTGACGTGGCGTAGAACTGATTGGGTCGTCATCTTTCAAACCAGTACGGGGCAGAGAATATCCTAAAACGCCCTGGCCACTCTGGCCCCATGAGAATATTTCTCCTTGAGAATCTATCGCAAGAGTGTGATTAGTACCTAGCGCGACTTGCACTATTTTCCTGCCAGCAAGACCGTTTTCGATACAAACATAAGAAAAGCGAGTAATCTCGTCGCCAGTTCCTAGTCGCCCACCAGGCCCGAATCCACACATGAAAAGGTTACTCTCGGGATCAGTGGTCAAAATAGCGCTATGCAACTTTGATAGCGTCACATCATGGATGACGATCGGTCTGTTGGCTACCAAAGTCGGTAGATCGGATACTAACTTTGGATTGGATCTAGAACTGAGGCTGTATAACGCTTCGTCTGTATCTTTGATGGATTCAAGATACTCTCGATAGAAACGAAATAGGAGATGGTCAGGTCGTTTGAGCGTGACCTTTTCGGGATACTGCCGATTGTCCTCATCGCCAAAGCCAAGGTTATAATTCTTACTGCTTCCCCATGCAAACACCTCATCTCCATTGAGAGGACCGTTTATCTGCCTCTCTTGATCGTTCGACCCTAGCGCGGACTCGTCTTCATCTTCAGATTCGTCATCAGAATTATAAGTTGTGGTTCCATAACTTGGTCTCTGCCTTGCAATGGTGGCATTGTACACATCAAAGGGACTGTTTCCTTCTAAATCTTTGACCTTGATGATGGACGAGGCTACTTTTTGAGCGGAACCTTCCAGACCGCTTGGACTTCTTGTGTCCTTCTCGATCATGGCACGCGCCAGAGTAACATTGCCAAAGTAGAGCGCTCTGTGGAGAGCCGTCCACCCGTTTTCAGCATCTTGCGCATACAGATCGATTCCGGGATGCTCAATCAATGCCAAACCGAACTCGATGGCACTTTCAGCATCAGACGAAGCTATCCTGCCCAGCAATGGTACTCCCGCATGATCCCTTGAATTCACGTCAAGCCTCGAGACAGCATGGCTTGCGCCTCTTCCTCCAATGGCCCCAGCCTGTCCAGAAACCTTCCTTCCCTTTGCCACCCGTGGAGAGGTTGAATATGTGCCTGGACTGCCTGCGACAATCCCGAGTCCATGATTTATGCCTCCACCATGCCCTTTCGCCGAGTATTGAGGATTGTGGACGGCATTTGCCAGCAGTTTCCGAAACCGTTCGATTTCATCATCGTGGAAGTATTTCCAGAGATTTGCGGCTTGAATGCTCATGTGTCGCGAGGGTGGCAAAAGGCAATCTTCCGGGCACCTCAGATACACCTCGCTGTGGCCTCGCAGGACACGGCTTTTTTAAAGGTGGTGAGAAGTGCAGGAAGACTCCTGGGGTTCGGGGAAGGGATTTGAGGAGGTTGATATGTCTGCGAGAAGTGGTTGTCTTGGTGGTTGTAGGTAGGAAGTACTGGTTGCGAGTGGGATGCGGTTGATATTCGACTGTGCAATGCGCCAAAGGTAATTGAAGCAGCAGAATTGATCTGTGATATTCGCGAAAGGGTTCGAATTCGATTTGGTGGAAGGGGATGCGCCTTTGTTTTGTTCTGTCTTGTGCTGTAGATGTTATGGTTATTGATCGGGGGGGAGTCATTAGTTGAAGGGAGTAACAGGTTGCTAGAAGTCGCGATTTGTGCGACGTCGTCCAATGAGAGCGCGCAAATGGGTGACGTGCAAGAGGCATCCGGTAGGATAGAACCAACATATTGCACTAACATCGAGGTATCTTCAACCTCATCTACGAATAATGCAACTTCCTTGGCGTACTTCATTTGGACGGATAAATTGTTGAAAATGAGAGAAATCCTCCATGGCCACGGGGGAGTGGCCTTTTATTACGAAAGCCGCCTCCATACACAATGCCTGAGCTTTTAGCCCCGATTTCATGCTTTTAGAAGCGGTGAGGAAATGACACGTCTGTTGCATCTGCATGAACCTTTTTTTCTTGCTATATTATTCTCTCTATATTATTCGGTATATATGATTCCAGACCACTGGCACCTTGCGTCTAGTTGATGAAGTATATCGCATTGGCCACTGTCTGGAGTCGCTTTTTGCCTCGAGCCATGCCACAGACATGGCCGCGAAGAATTTGGCTGCTTTCATCCCCCCTTCTTTTTGTTGATTACTGAGACGTATAGCCCAAGGAGATATTTGCTAGTGTCTTCTTCTTTCCTCCGTTTTTCCTGGCTTTTTCTTTCATCCAATCGTCCCAATTTCTTTGTCTTTGTCTTGACCTTGACTGAACAAAGAGTAGGAAACACAACCTTGTATTCTCCAAGAACAGTTCAGAGGTACTATTAATAAGGCGTATAATCCATCACGCAGTATGGATCTTCAGCAACTCCGATTTCAGAAATCGAGTCTGAAAACACCGTCGCTATTTATCTCCCTGCCCATTTACTAAACGAAAATCACGACACCATGAATGGCATATTCAACCACATCAAAGCTCTCAATAGCGAAGCATCACTAACCTTATCCCAACAACACGAACTAGAACCTTACAATTGCATTGATCCAGACTGCGTCTTCCCCTACGGACCACCATGTAATGAATGCAAAGAAGCACAGCGTAGGAAAGAGGAACACCGGGCAGCTATCCTCGCAGCCAGGATCATCTGGGTTGATGATAATGATCTCAAACCACGACCTAGTACCACTGCTTTGCATCGGAAAGAGCGGAAAAAGGAAGCAGCCCGTCAACGATGGTTTAACAGCGGTAGTTCTGGCGGATCCGAACTCTCGTCTCAAGCTTCTTCACAAACCCTTAGATCTGAGTCGTCTTCTCAAACTCTCAGATCCGTAGACGATTCAAAAGTAGAACTAGTAAAGAAAGATTCTGCGATCACCTTGCGTGCTCAGAAATCAGTGGTAAGTCTCTCGTCCTCGCAGCAGGTTGGGAATGACGGAGCAGAACGCGTATTAAGGAGAAGTCAAACCTTCCACAATATCCGCGACCCCAAACCAGACAATCAGACTAACAACCAGTCATTATCGGAATGTACCACAACCAGTGTTGTTCCAAGCGGGAACCGACGAAGCTCAATAAGCTCAACCTCATTAACATCCACCATCGTTCCCACACCACCACAGGCAATCCTTCCCTCATCCGAAGAACCCTCAGACACATCCACCACACCCACAGAAGCATCAGAAAACTCATCCACCACCCAAGACCACCGTCTAAAAACCTGGCTCACCGACCTCCCATCCCCCACCCGCATGACCAACCCTTACCGTCCCCTCTCCCAACTCAACACCACTGAATTCATTGACATATCCTCGGGCACCCCACAGAAAATCGTCAAAGCCACTCACACTTGCATTGAGATCGTCAAGACGCGGCAGCCTCGTACTGGCGCGTGTCCGCTGTGTGCTAATCCCCTAGGTGACCCGCGAGATCAGCATCTAGTCAAGTGTCGGTTTGCGCGGGATGAGAAGGCGAGGTGGGAGGAGATGAGGGTGCGGATGGAGGGGAGGGAGATGTGATGGTAGGTTGTGTGATGAATGTTTTTAGGGCTTGTTGTTTGTCAGTATTAAGCTTGTGAATATGTCGATAGTTGCTAACAATTAAATATTTGGCTTCAAAAGTCCTTTGATTTTTACCGTACCATGTGGGTGTTAGAATTTTAAAATGAAAACCCTCCCTCGATCTTCTCTACTACAAGACATTACGGAATTTAGTTAAATATTATATAAGGATGTACCCTTGACGAACGACGCTTAACTCTCCTTTTCAATCTTGTCACTCATTTTCAATTTGATTTCTACACTACCTCCGCAAATTAAATATATAGTCTGTAAACCAGACAGTTCGCCTTACTCGCTCAACTGTAAGCGAGAAGTCTATATTGCTATTCCATCTTGTCTGACGTCCGAATACCTCCCAAAACGCCTAAAATGAATGTCTCCCACTCCTTTTTAGTCCCTTACAAGTTCCGCAAGTACGCTGAAGCCCTTTCTATACTTTTAGATAACCTATCGACGGTAAACAGAATTCAAAGCTTATAAAGAAGCGCAAACCCTTATAACTCCACCCAATCAGTAGCGCTAGAAAGGACTTATGTAAGAGATAGGTTCTTTGATACTGGTGGATACCGAGCAATAGGATCTTTCAATTTTCACTTTTCTGTGTTATTCATGATCAACCGATATGTTCTTAGATCATCTCTCTAGCTGCTATTGTGTTCCTCATCAACAAGCCATCCCCAGGAATTTGAACGCTTGCTTTGGGTAAGCGGTTCCGAGTCCTGACCATGTTAACTTCGCAGTGTGATCCTGGTGCTGGAATGAGATTAAATGGTATGATGGAATTCGGTCTGAACGTATTGTTACTAGTTTCAGTAATCTCGTCTTCGAGTGCCAGTCATGTTTTGGGGTTCAGATTCGGAGGTCGAAGTCAAACGCGGGGTATAGAATCGCGTTTCATGGACTGTCATTAGTACTAACAAAGACAATCAATCAGACTATAACATTCAAAAAACAGTGACGCAACAAGCTGTGTGGAATTGGCATCACCACAACGTCCAGTCTCTCGAATTCGATGTCAGTTTGAGTCGTCTGATGTAAAGAATTAGGGCAGTTATTCGGATCTGCAACCCGACACATTGGCTCCGCATAACTTACCGTTCGAAATTGTAGAATTATAGAGCTCTAGATATTGTTTCATGTTAGTTCGTGGAATCCCAGATAACATATGTCGATGCGTTCGTTGGGCAGACAATAATTTCCCGCAGTTGCAGTTCATTGATCGACCATTGGCGATGGAACCGCTGGTCAGGAAAGCATTTTCATAACCATCAAGCCAACGTAAAAAAATCGACGCTCTTCTTCTCACGAACTGGTTGCTGAGATTGACTTACAGGGCAACAGATACGATATTGGAGCGAAAAAAAGGGGAATTTTTGTCAGCTGAAGCCCTCTTTAAGTCGAAAGTGGGTTCAATTTGAGCCACGAAGCGATTCCCACCGACACTTGAGATTTTCTGTGATCATGAGCCATTGCAGTACCATTGTCAAGCTTCGGCTGGCTGTTGCAGCTGTCGCCGCCGTTGTTTCCGGTTTGGTATCAAATCCGTTTCAAAGTGGCAATATCGAACGAACTAACAGATCAACATTCCCAATGACAAGCCGTTCCGAATTAATTTTCTCACAGCAACCACTGCTTGGGAATTATGTCAATTATTCAGTGGTATTTATCAATCGATGTATGGGTTAAGACCATCCGCAAAGTCTCTCACTGTAAATCGTACGGTGTGCAATAAATGTACTCAATTGTAAGCAACTATTAAAAAGACTTGCACCCTTCCCATACTATGAGCCATTCAATGCTCCACAAAGCAACTGTGAAAATACATGCACACATCCCACACTACGAACCATTCAACCCTCCACCAAATCTCGCTGACAAAAGCCCATCTTCCAGGTGTTGTTTCTTGTCCCAAAAAACCACTTCCAAATGATCTGAACAATTCCCTTCCCATCCGTTCATTAAAACCGGTGGTAATCTCCAGTCTCATCAATTCTATACCCATGGGCATGCTCCCGAACTCTTTTCTCCTGCAGAATCTGACCATCATCATCCTGGTATTCCCACACCTCCGGAGTCGTATAAAACCTCGTTTCCGAACTTTCCAGGAACTTCACCTCGTACTTTTGGAATTGAGCGAATAATCGGAGCCTGGCGTAAACGTACTGATCAAAAAGTTGCAGGAGGTAGTCTTGAGCGAAAAGTTCCCAGTTAGTATGATACAACGTTTTGAGGTACAGTTTGCCGAGCTTCTCGAGAACGCTGTCGTAGTTCGCTTGTGGCCAGTTATCAGCATGGGCGATAGTAAACGGTAGCTTGCCGACTTCTGTGGCAAATTCAGGGGAGACTATTGATGCAAGTTAGCATGGCTTCACCAAGGGCATTGTATCAAGATACTAACATCTTGTTTTCTCAAGGCTGCTAAAGTATGATGCCAAGTCGCGATGTTGCACGGGTGTGAGCGGGAGGAAAGAATTCTCAGGCTCCACGTCGAGAGATGTTTTTTGAAATAAAAGCTGCGAAAGCAAATGCTCCAAGAGCACACGTCTGGTACGAGTATCTTCGAAGAGGCGCCAAAATGAAGCCACGGGCATTGCCTGGTATCCGAGATCTGACAGGATCTGGCCTAATTCGGCGCCATCCCACTTCATGTTCTTAATATAGTCATAAGGTTTTTTGAAGGTGTGAAAATTGAAGACCCAGAATACACCGAAGCCGCGTAAATCTCCTTCGATCTGCGGATCGCCCTCGAAAGGCCTGTGCTCGGTCAAAACGCGGCCTAAGAAGGTTGGGTGTACCGATTCTAGTATGACTGGCGGCAGTTCTCGCATTTGCCTAATCGGTTCATCAAGTACTTTCACTACTTCTTCAACATGGTGGCTCACATCTGCGACAGGAACCTTTGCTACACTTTTGAGGCGAAGGTAGAGATATACCGAGAGGCTAGTGAGAAGCAGAATCGCCAACAAAGTCGGTATGAGAACCGCTAGAAGAGTTATTGTAACAGGCTGCATGTTGAGAGCCAGAGAACATGTGGAGTGTGTCTTTAGAAGTGATAAAAGAAAGAAGTTGAAGAAACTAGGAAATTCAAATGAGGATCTTCGAGGGTGCTCCAATTAAATATGCTGAAAGACAAAGAAAACTGTGGTCTCTGCTTTGGGAATTTCTCAAGACGTCTCTGTCACATTGCAAGCCCGGAAATGAGACAAAGAAATAATTACCCTGCCGTTTTGGGGACGCCCCTTGAACGCGGATCCGGAATCACGACTTGCAAGCAGCCAGTCAGCTTGATGAAAGCATCCAATTAAGACCTCAAAGACACAAGGGTTTGATGAGTGACAAACCGAAAGCCAAGATCTCGAAATTTGCCCAGATTTCCCTCCCACCTGACAGTATTTTCTTGATTTCTAGCCTGTGAGGTTATGAAAAGTAAGTCATGATGCAGGTTACCGAGACGTTGCCTTGATCGAGCCTCTGAGTTCTTTCCCCTGAACCGGAGAAGCCCGATTTCAATAGCTGAGTCTGATTGTCGAGACAACGGCAGTGTCTGGATCATTTGGTTGGTCGGTGGCCAAAGTCATGCTTTTGGTGGAGTGCTCTTGAGCTCAGGATGGCTAGTTTGTTGATCTGTTTGTATTCCAACCGAACGCGGGAAGCCCAAAACTTTTGTCTGCAACACTTCACTTTCTTCCCAACTCGGTGGGAATTGGAAGTTCTTCAATAAATTCTTCCGAATCTCACTTATAATTGCTCTCAACCTGTTTGCTGAGCAGCCATGGACATTACTATCGTTGTCGACTTTGGGATGACAGGTAGCGGTAAGAAATGATCCTATGAACGATCCATACAATCACAAATTTTGACTTCACACAGCGGCTGAGTGGTTTGAGCTTCCCACATCTTCGAACAATCCAAGGATCAAAGGAGGACAGGTAGGAAAGATCCCTACACTCATACGATACGGAGAGCGCAATGAGGTGGTTTCTTGGGGAACCGGTGCAGAGAAATCTCAGGTGGCAGTGGAACATTCATTCAAACTCCGCTTTTCTCGCCCAAACACTCGAAGCAATGCCAGCAAACATTGTTCTGACTACCTTTATCACTTTTGCGATCACGTCGTGCGAGAGATTATCAAGAAGGAAGATACCATACGAGAGAAGCTCAAGGCTGAGTGGCACTTTACAACACCTGGCATATGGGATGTGTCAACAACCAACGACTTTAGGGTACTTGTATCCGAGGTCGTACACAAGCTCTTGCCAAACTGCACGGTGGTTGTAGAGCTTACCGAGGCATTGGCTAGTCATCTGTTTCTCAAGAACAGATTTCAACTCGACACTGCAGGGTGGGTAATAACTTGTGATATTGGTGGTGCTACGATAGACACTGCTGGATCTATTAACAGCCATGAGGTGTTTCCTATCTTGAGCGAACATACCCCCATGCTCAGTGGCGTCTGTCGAATTGACAATATCACGTCAGAAAGCCTGCAAAAATCATCACCTCCAGAACCCAACCTTCCGTGGGAAGATATTGTTACGTCTTGGGGTTGGAAAAAGGCTCGACACTCTGCAAGTGGATCAGAGGATCTAAACATACGGCTCGACAACAACCTTGGACTTTACCAGTCTGACGACTACACCATTGAAGGCGAAATGATGAGAATTTCGGGGTCCGTCTTTTCTCGTTGCACCTATCCCAAAACTAATCGAAATAGGTCTTTGTTCAGGAATTCCTTCAGCGAATTTGAACTTTCTCTGCACGCCGAGATTGATGAAGCAATTCGTAAAGTTAGAGATATTTCTTCCAGGAGTGAAGACACAACAGTCAGTAAAATGAGAGAAGATTGGTGCTTCTACCTAGCTGACAACCTCTAGGGAACAATTGCTTTCTGTGGGGGAGGTGGCACCATGGCTAGAATGCTTCAAACAATGAGAGTGCGATATCCCATGCATCAAATTCTAGCCCCGGATTGTCCAGATTTGTCGTAAGTTGTTACTTTTTTGTTTTCTCGACGCACTTCCCACACAGCTCAGATTTGTGTCTGACTGAAACCAGTTCTCTTGCTACGGTTATAGGGTATCGGCTGCACCTACAGAAGCAAGCACTGGAGAGATGCGCTGAAGAAACACAGATGGGAATGTCAAAAGACAGTTCATCAGATGAAATTGAGTGGAAAGTGAGATAAACTTTATATTATCTTGTATCGACCTTCTTGCTAAGAAATCACAGGACTTTTCCTTGATTACGACGTGGCAATTCCATTCGAAAGGAAAGGGTAAGCGGCATTTATTTGTAGTCACCAGAGGCAACTTGCAACAAAATCGTTCTATTGACTACCTCAAAAACAACTTGGAGAATTTGCCACATACCTCAGTCTGGCACTTGTTTGTCACTTTGGATCGACAATGGCTTCGGGGGCAAGATTATTCCATTCGAGTCACAGCTGACGGAAAGGGAGATTTTACCTTTGCAGCTTTTGACTCGGACAACCAGAAGATTGAGGTGTTGCACGACAAAGGATTTTGATTAAGTGCGTGCTCAATGCATACCTCGAAGAGGGAAGAAATGGAGTGTTAGGAGTCCTGGCTTGTAACTTTATGTCATTTTTCTTTTGAGTAATAAATCACAATCTCCACTTGCCGAAATTTACGATTGCATTTTCCAACGACGCTGATAAAAGTCGACTTACAACACAACATCTCGGTTGTGCGTCGCCAAGCAAACAAGCGATGCCGGATTAAGGGGGGCTCCCGGTGGACACATAAGTGGCCGTCCAAGCACGGGAACACGATAGTTCTTCGATTAAGTTGACAAAGTAGTGAATACCTAGTGGATTTACTTGTGATATTACCAGATGTCTAGTCAATTGTTTCCAGTAAATAACACATCAAGCTCTGTTCAAAATCAACTTGTTCTTTGTAAAGTTTAGCTAGTGGGTAGGGGACTGACACTCACTTTGTTCCCTGCGAGGGAGGAGGCGGGTGAAGCGGCACGCCAATCTGACGACGAGGATATCAACATTTCAAAAATGAAAATAATCCGATGCATAGCGGCTGTTGGCTGCATGCGTTAGAGACTTTGTGACTTGTAACCGGTATAGGCGTCCAACAGGAGCTTTGAGGTATTTGATTTTGAAGCGGTCCCTATCCCAGACCATCACGGATTCGAAGACAGTTTTCATCCGTGAGCCGTTTGAAGGCTGAAAAGAGACATTCCAAGCGATGATTGAAAGTCAGGGTCAAAGGATTTGATATTTGGTGCCGAGACACAATATAAAGAGGCTACTTCCGTTTGCAAACGGGCGAAAGAGATTAGCGGTACATTCCTGGACCGCTGAGCCGACCTCTTTGCTGGTTCCTTGTGACACCGAGACAAGTCACAATATTTTCAAAGCCCCCTTATCTGATAGATTTGCTATATCTCGGGTTGTCCGTCCCGAACACGTCCTATGGTCAACGAGCTGTAGGCCCCTGATTTAGTTCAGAATATCCGTGCTACATGTGGGTTTCCTCAATGAATGAATTGAATTTAGAATACCGGCAAGTCATTCAATCCTCTCAATCACTCGGTGACATTTCGTGAACGTACCCAGCGGGTTCTTGACAGACATTCAAACACAGATCTCGAAATTTACTAAAAGCAGCGAGTGAACGACTGCACGTCGTTGAAGACTTAAGCACAAGCGTCAAAATCCAAACGATGAATCGAATGAGAATCAAAACTAATGCATGTACGTCAGAATTACTCGTGGAAATGATATTAAAACCACTTTTCTCGCAGCAACGTCCCGACCGTCCCCGCTTCATCTGCTTCGTTGGCAGATGTATCTCAAAGCGCTGATAAGCTGAGTTTTTCAAGCCAGAATGTATGCACCCGCAGGATCGCAGATGGCCAAACGTCTTTGGAATCATTGGCTTGACGGGTCTCAGTTAATTTGCTGGCGATCCACGCGTTCCAGGCTACATTTCAAGATCAAATGCTGCACGAAGCCGCTCGCTTAATGAAGAGACATATCGGGAGCTCACAGAATCTCTCTTGCGCTCAGATTTTGTAATCACATCCAGTTTTTGAAGGTCAGAGGGATTATGAACCATGAAGTGCTGCACTGGTAGTATCGGGAAGTCTTTTTCGATGTGCCAACGATCTAACGGGCTCTCCACTATGTGTTTGAGAAAAGGCGCACATGGAAGTCGGAAGACACTGACCTGCAACCGCTCATTGAGAAGTGATAGATTCTTCAGGTCTCATTCATCAGCTGAAATCGCTGGGAGAGGACTCCAATTGATCACTGCTTGAGACTTACCAAAGAGTGTCAGTGCGGAAACGCCCACCTGACAATTTTACGAGCCTTCCCCCTCAATCCGTCTTGAGCCCAATTTACACATGATCCAAGCATAGATGATTCTGTGTTTTGGAATATTCATGTCTTTAGAATAGACTTTAATGTTGTCGGTGTTCGCCGCGTTCTTTGTTGAACGTCCCTCTGCGATCATGAGGGGCGTACCATGTTTCTGATCCTCTCTTGGGTATATTGAATTCGAGCTAGGTCGGATTTTCTACATATACGAAGATTCATGCCTTTGAACTAGAACATCCAGGCCATCACTAGCATCTCTTGTTATTTGTTGCAAATTCAACCAGAAACAATCACATTTCACATATCGTTTCGCCCCATACAACCCGGACTCAAAATGGCCTCGCCTATTTCTCTCACGGAGATCTTCAAGACGCTAAAGTTCATCTACAACACAGTCGACGAGATGAGCAGACTTCCCGAGCAAGTGGAACACGACCGGGCAATCTTCAACTCGCTCGTGAACATCATGAAACTTTTGGGAGATTGTCTCGAAAAGTACGTCCTCACGGATAGCCAGATCCTCGCCTGGCACAACAATGTCAAAGCATGCCAGATGCGGGTTACCAAGATCGCAGAGGGCCTTAAGCGACAAAGCGAAGTTTCCTTTCTCCGATGGCAACTTTCGGAGAAGAAGACTTTTAGAGCCTGCATGGAGGAATTGCAAAAGGACGTCAAGCGACTGGACAAAATGAACTCGTTGTATGTTTTCGATCCTGTTTGAGACTATATTTGCTAATCAATGACGCTGAGCAGTATCAGACGCGTTGCCAGCCGCCGCTCTGAATGGGAGAATTTGCGAAATCCGGCTAAATAACTCGTCGTATGTTTTCAATCTTACTTTTGATCTTACACCCGCTAACCAATAACGCTGAGCAGTATCAGAGAGGTTGCCCGCCGCCGGTCGGAATGGGAGAATATGGGGAAATCCGGCTAAATAACTCGAAAGAATGCAAAGGGAGGTTCTTTGAGGACGTTTCAAACAGGAGGAGATACTGTTCCACAGCATGATATCCATAGATCGGGGACTTTTTGGCGTTTGCGAACCAAAACAGAGTTGTAACTCGATAGAATATAAAAAAAATGGGAGGTTTATCTTTTTCACACGGAGAAAGTTTCTACAAGCTTGAAAAAGGTGAAATGATATCTAGATCAACCGATTTCACTAAGCATTCAGATAATTTTATGTACGCAGAATAGACAAAAAGGCGGGACAGAAGATCGAATCGATTTGTATTTGCCTATTCATATGTCATTCGCAAGCCATTCATTCTACCTTATTATTAAACGAACCCTTTACTATTCTACAACCACCCAAAAAATCCAATACTACTAGCAAGCCTAACAATATCCGTACAGTGACAGAACCTTGAAATTTTACCTAAAATTACTCTTCGCAATAACTCCCCTTAAGTGATAAGGACAAGGAATAGAACAAAACACAACACCCTAGAACCAGTAGTAAAGTAACCTCGTCTCAAATGTATATATTCAAAAATCAAACGCGAAAAAACTCATCGAGTAAGTAAACGACGACAACAAATTACTAAATTAAAGACACAAAAGACACACATCCCCCCCTAAAGAACTCACTAAAGATGTCATGCTTTTACCCAGCACTACAAAGATACCTACCACAACTCTAACCTCAAAATCCGGGTCTCGACTAGACAAAGTGCATTCACGTCCTTTACTCGAGATAATTTCTTCAATTAAATACCTTGAGGCATAAGGCGGTCTGTTTTAGATAATCTTCCCAACTAAACAAAATCAAATGAGACACGTGACTAGTTCAATATTGATGTCCTAACCCACCTCTATTACACACTCAGCCGCGTAGATGAACCCGAAGCGATCATATGAACTGGCGATTTTAGGACGATCATCCCAGCCCGCGAAATAACGATTACGAAGTTCAATTGCTGCCTATAAGCGCATTTCACAGACAACGCCCTTTCCCAATGCAACATGTCCGCATGCGAAAATTCCAAAACGCGGTAACATCCCATTAATATTACGAGAAAGTCCTCGGGAAGCGCCACGGAGTTCGTGAGTGCAATTGTGTCGAAGTACCGGTACATAGCAGGGGTAATTCATGTCCGACGTATTGATTGAAAACACCACAGAATACTTTTACCCCATACTCTGTACATGAATTAAAAAGTAATTGGTGAATACGTGATTATCCTACTACGAAGCTGGGTGGCCAAGTGCATTGAGATATCCATCGCTCACAGCGTCTTTTAGATCTTGATGTCCCAAAAGTACTGCATTAGCTTGGTCGCTTTCATTTTGAAGCTCACCCATGCTCTCATCTCCTTGCTCGGCTGCAGTCGCAAGGTCAGCCAGGCGACGCAGACCTAATTCGGCAGTTTCTGCCGTCGTGTTCTCTCCTCCAGATCGCTGTTTCTTACCAATCATTTCCCGTACAGCGACTTCAGAGCCTGGCAATATTGCATTGCTTTCAAGCAAAGACTTTAGGGCAAGATCGGCTGATTCCTTTGTATTTCCATCATCTAATAAATCAACAAGAGTTAAGCTTGCAATCCCAATACAGTAATTGGTAAGAGGGTTAATGTTGGTGGTCGTTTGTGTGGCGAGGTTTGCAATGTTCGAGGCGGCTGTCAGAAGTTGGGAACTATCAACTTCAGCAAGTCGAAGTTCCAATAAAATCCTCAAATGCCAGTAACACATCAGAACAGTTGGCGTACTATTTGGTGGATAGACCGTCGAAGGTAGTGATTCTCGCCAGCGTTCGAGTTCGCCTCTTAAAAGGGTATTCACTATTTGCAAAGGTTTTACCCCGAGGATTGGAAGATCTTCTGAAGCAAATGATGCGGCTTGAAAGTGTCCTAAGACAATAGAGAGGCCTAAAATGTCAGCGTTGGCATCAAACCTGGCCAGGACAACCTACGGGCAAGATGGTATACAGGATCACCCAGCAGAAATTGATCTTCTGGGTGCAAGACGAGACTCTCGTCAGGAATGATGGATGGCGTTGAAATGCTGGAGCTATGCCAACGTTCAAGAATGACGAAACTCCACCAAACCTTTCTGAAAAGATTGTCTTCGGAATCAGGATCATCTGCCAAGGGTTGCTGTTGAAAACTCCGCTTATGTAATTTGATTTCATAAGCCAATGAAACTGCTGTACTCAACCATATTGACCTTGATGACCCACTTGGTCCTCTCAAAGCGTTGTTAATATTTGCGATTGTTAAGAATAATAGAGTTTGAAGATATACCAAGTTGGATGATGTTGGACGAGAAGTGGGACTTTCGAGCTGCATCGATACCACTAGTTGGGTTGCCTGCTTGAGGTGGTACTGGGCGGATGATTGACTTGTGGGCATGGAGGATGACTCGACCGCAGCGCGTAACGAGTCATAAAAGACGTTCTTCAATTGATTTGAGCAAGCAGATACTCGAGTATTCAAAGACGCTTTGGATTGCGCTAGTACTGGGAAGACCGAATGTATTGTGTTGTAGTATCTAAACAGTAGTTAGCACCTGCATATCGCGTAGCCAGAGAGAGAACCTACCCATTCACGATGTTATCATCCCAATCAGCACTCTGCTCCAGTTGACCAAAGTCACCCGATTGGAAACCATCAAATGAACTGTTTTGACGAGCAACCTGATCTGGAGCTTTCTTCCAGTGAGGTGAAGGAGGAAGTCCATTTGGTGTATAATTGGAATCTCTAAACATATGAGGAACGGGAGCGGACTGAGGAGTATTGAATGCATTTGAAGGATCCTGGTGCTGTCGCGAGGGATCATATCCACTCGTGGGCCGTTGAAGTTGATACGAGGTACCAAAGTCAGCTGACATGTTCGAAAAGGTTCTCTTGCGACTGGTCATATCACCATGTGGTGGTGGTGACATTTCTTCGGACGCTCGACGCGGGATAGAGTTCTCTGGATGGCTCATATACGATGCCGAAGGAGATTCACCTGCATGGATGGCCCCTTCCAGATTGTGCAGTCGATCAGCGAGTTCCTTGATATATCTGGACAACGTGTTAGTGTATAACACTTGACGCGCTTCGAAGACCTACCCTTTACTTGGCCCCCTCTTCATGGGCACACGACTGAATTGACAAGCCGCGTTCACACGCTTGCAGCTGGTACATGGAGCACCGCTTTCGTCTGTCGCATCACATCGTATTTTCTTCCGCCGACATTCTACAACTGTCAGCATAATCCGGAGAAGAACTGCCAAACCCACCGTCGCAAGCCCGTGAAACCTTTGACCTTTTTCTTGGAGCCGTAGATCCAGCTGTCCCGGGATACTGTGCCACCAATTGGTCGAGTTGTCTCTGGGTGGGCTGTATGGGATGATGATGGTCCTCCTGCTCTTGGCCAAACTGTGGAATGCCGTCGTGTACCGTGACTTCTTGGTCTTCGCCCATGTTTCCACCTGGGCCGGCATTCATGGTTGGCGCGAGGCCACGCGAGAGCTGTGCGGTAAGCTGTAGCTCATCCGGGTTGGACATCTGGTGTTGATTATTTGCGGAGTAGAAGGGAGCAGCGCCATCAGCGGCGAGCGAGTTCGGCGAAGAGTAGGATTGCATATTCGGCGCGTCGCTCTTTGTACTCGAGTAATTCATATTCCTAGGATGTTCTCATGTGGGCAACGAAGCGGGGTGTCTATACCGGCAAAAGGAAGTTAGTTTCTGATATTGGAAACACCACCGGAATGACAGAGCTCTGGGTACTTTCGACAAGGCTATTTCGAATCGCAACAACACCAAGCGCACCGCTCACGTCCCGCGCGCCGGAGCACAGCTTCGTATCGGATTCCTTTGCATAGACCAGCACGCGTGTCTTGAAGATGCGACCGGTCTTGCGCAGCGAATTCTGCCTCAAGTGACTTCACTTACTGGGACTTGTCGCGCCTGCAGCCACACGCGATTGTGGTTGTGATCCAACCTTCAGCTCCCTCTCCCGTCCCAATCCCTTTCTCCTCCAAAGCGGGTGCCAGCCGGCACTGCGCAAGCAGCGTTGCGCGCGCGGTCCGGATCTTCGATTCGATTGATATATTATTTTGGCGGATGATCGATGCGAGAGCACGGGATTGATGGAGTTCGGCCAAACGTTGATGCGAATTGAAGTGGTTGGGTTGCTTGAGGTCGCGACGAATCTGCAGAAGAAGTCTGGCATGGGCTGGGTTGCACGTGATCGGGTCGTCTTGGCATCTGAGCTTCCCTGACTATATTCGGTGGTCCATTCTGATTCTGGCAGACGTCTTAAGAACAACAAGACACCAAGGACGAACATCCATATAGCATCAGCATCTCTATCTTCTAAGTTGATCATGCTGCTCTTCGCTGCGGCTACTCGAAGCTCATATGAACTCTCAACTGAGCATGGTCTTTACGCAAAATTCACCATCTCCCCTGTCTTCTTCATAGGCATACCGCACCATCAAACGACTCCGCATTCCCAACCAATTGACAAGGTAATATGTTTAAGCTAATCATCGACCAGAGTCTACTGCCGTTCCTGTTTCAAGGGCCGATTGTAGAGTCACGTCTTTTGTTCCCACAGGCTAAATCCAGGTTAATGAGACGGTGAGCTCTTAAGACCCGTGATCATTGCCTTCTTTCACTGCCGTTCAAAGGGCTGGGAATGGAGTATGCTGAAGGAGGTTCTGGAATAACTATCAATGGATCTCGCACCTGGAAGCATGGTAGAATGCGGTGTACATCGCCGCAAAAGAAATGGGGAAGAGGAAGCAAAGCAGTACACCCAAATTCCTCCGGACGGTTTTCATCTATACCTCAGCTCTCTGTTGCTTGTTTGCACGCTTATTCAATAAGTATCTTAAACGGTCAGGCTGAGGGATAGTTTGTCTACAACTATCGGTGGTCTAAGCGAGAACCGTGAATTGAAGCGACGATCGATCTTGGACCTGCCATGCCTAGCTGGGTGCCTACGTCTGAATCATTATATCAAGTTCGAACTAATGTGCAAATGTGTATGATCTGTTTTACAGCTTGTTCCCTCATACATACTCATGATTTAGGAGTTTAGTAGGGGTTCGGCCACAAACAGCTGGAGGTGTCTAACCGCAATTTGTATATACCATTTGTCGGTATTGGTAGGTCTACCTATAAGAAACCACCGCAGATGACAGTGCTCGAGAAATGCCATTAATAGATGACAAGTCAAACTGTAGATGCAAATACATACTGATTGTTAAAGAAGTCGCACGTGAAATGACACGACAGTACTCGAGTACAATTTCTTTCCTCCTGAGCATTCTCCCAGCATGACGTAATGTCCCATCCACCAATGCGGTGTCAAACCCTTGATGAGGCTGTTCTGCAAGGCTATGAAATTTCTTCATACAAACATTTTCATTGGCTTCAACGCTGTCACTATCCTGCTTTTGGCCCTCGGCATATCACCCCACCGGATTATCATCGGCCCGCTCACAATTTTTTCTTGCCTTTCTATCGCTCAGACATTTTGAACTTTTCTCGACCTGGAGCTCGTTCTTCAGCAATTTTCTTTTTAAAATCATCTCGATATACGGCGCCATGGTCGAGAAGGTCTACACCCCCGTGTCGGCACAAATCAGCGGCGACGAGACCTTGGTCAGTCTCGAGCTGCATGATGGTGTTGTTTACCAGGGTTACAGTTTCGGTGCAAAGAAGAGTGTTGCAGGAGAATTGGTGTTCCAAACTGGCATGGTGGGGTATCCCGAATCGATAACAGACCCCTCGTATCGTGGCCAAATTCTCGTCATCACGTTTCCTCTGGTCGGCAATTATGGTGTTCCCTCGAGGGAAACTATGGATGAACTTCTTAAAGATCTGCCAGCCCACTTCGAAGCATCAGAAATACATATTGCAGGTCTGGTCGTTGCGTCTTATGCCGGAGAGGATTATTCCCATTTCTTGGCTACATCTTCTCTGGGGACATGGTTAAAAGAGCAGGGAGTTCCTGCAATTTACGGCGTCGATACTAGAGCGCTCACCAAAAGAATCAGAGAGGAGGGAAGCATGTTGGGGCGAATGCTCCTGCAAAAAGAAAACCTCACCAACGGACATGCAAATGGAAACTCTAATGGCGCGATTGCGATCACATCTGGAAATGATTGGAGATCTGCTTTCGAGACGATTGAATGGGTAAATCCAAATACCAAAAACCTCGTTGCGGACGGTGAGTTTCTGCTTGAAGCCAGCCCATGTACAAGGGCTGACATTGGAAATAGTGTCGACATCCAAGCCCAAATTATATACCCCAGAGCCATCGACTGCTCGTAAACATCCATCTGGTCGAGCGTTACGTGTGTTATGCCTTGATGTCGGATTGAAATATAATCAATTGAGATGTCTTCTGAGACGCGGAGTCGAGGTTCTGGTTTGTCCTTGGGATTATGACTTTCCAGCTCTTGCGGGCAAGGACTTTGACGGTCTGTTTATATCAAACGGACCTGGTGATCCTGCCATGATGGAGAAAACCGTCAAGCATATTGCAATTGCCATGGCTGAGAATCGCGTGCCTATCTTTGGTATCTGCTTGGGACACCAGCTTTTGGCCAGGGCTGCGGGTGCTTCTACTTCGAAAATGAAGTTTGGAAACCGTGGACACAACATTCCGTGCACGAATTTATTGACTGGAAAATGTCACATTACGTCGCAGAATCATGGTTATGCTGTGGATGCCAGCAGCCTTCCAGCCGAATGGGAGGAGCTTTTCATCAACGCAAACGATGGAAGCAATGAGGGTATTAGACACAAGAACCAACCATATTTTAGCGTACAATTCCACCCAGAAAGCACACCAGGTCCTCGAGACACCGAGTTCCTTTTTGACGTCTTTATCGACACCATTGTCAGCACGACTGAAGACAAAAGCATGCTTTCAGCTCCGGTTACCTTCCCGGGAGGACAGGCCGAGGAGAACGCGAGACTCAACCCTAGAGTGGATGTCAAGAAAGTGTTAATCCTAGGAAGTGGAGGTCTCAGTATCGGACAAGCAGGAGAGTTCGATTATTCTGGAAGTCAAGCAATCAAGGCCCTGAAAGAAGAAGGAATTTTCACCATCTTGATCAACCCAAATATTGCGACAATTCAGACTTCCAAAGGATTGGCCGACAAAGTCTACTTCCTCCCCGTCACAGCCGATTTTGTGAGAAAGGTCATCATGCGCGAGCGACCAGATGCGATTTACGTGACTTTTGGTGGTCAGACTGCTCTCCAGGTCGGTATCCAATTGAAAGACGAATTTGAAGAGTTTGGCGTCAAGGTTCTGGGAACACCAATCGATACAATCATCACCACTGAGGACCGAGAGCTTTTCGCACGAAGCATGGAGTCAATTGGTGAGAAGTGCGCCAAATCTGCGTCTGCAAATAACACCGAGGAGGCCATGCGTGTTGTCAAAGATATTGGCTTCCCAGTCATTGTTCGTGCAGCATACGCACTCGGTGGGCTCGGAAGTGGATTTGCAGATAATGAGAATGAGCTCAAGGAGCTATGCAACAAGGCATTTGCAGCCAGTCCTCAGGTTTTGATCGAGCGAAGTATGAAGGGATGGAAGGAAATCGAGTACGAGGTTGTTCGAGATTGCCGCGACAATTGTATCACGGTCTGTAACATGGAGAATTTCGATCCGCTTGGTATTCATACCGGAGATTCTATCGTGGTCGCCCCTTCGCAGACTCTTTCCGATGAAGATTACAACATGCTCAGAACAACAGCCGTGAATGTCATCAGGCATCTTGGTGTCGTTGGAGAGTGTAACATCCAATATGCACTCAATCCATTCTCTCGGGAATATTGCATCATCGAAGTCAATGCCAGATTGTCAAGATCTTCTGCCCTAGCATCAAAGGCAACCGGGTATCCTTTGGCTTTCATCGCGGCAAAACTTGGTCTTGGTATTCCTCTAAACGAGATTAAGAATTCAGTGACCAAAGTCACTTGTGCTTGTTTCGAACCTTCGCTCGACTACGTAGTTGTGAAGATGCCAAGATGGGACTTGAAAAAGTTCGTGCGGGTGTCGACACAATTGGGTTCTTCCATGAAGAGTGTCGGGGAGGTGATGAGCATTGGAAGAACTTTCGAAGAAGCTATTCAGAAAGCCATTCGTGCTATAGATTTCCACAACCTCGGCTTCAACGAGACAACGACGGCCTTGATGAAAATCGATGATGAGCTTCAGACACCTTCGGATCAACGTCTGTTTGCTATTGCGAACGCTATGCACTCTGGATACTCGGTTGAGAAGATCTGGGAGATGACCAAGATCGACAAGTGGTTCTTGAGTAGACTCAAGGGGTTGAGTGATTTCAGACAGAAGATGTCGACTTATACGGCTCGTACCGTGTCACACAACATTCTTCGACAGGCCAAGCAACTCGGTTTCTGCGATCTTCAACTAGCCAAATTCTGGGGGTCAACTGAGTTGGCAGTGAGACGTATGAGAGTTGAAGCTGGTATCGTTCCGGTTGTCAAACAAATCGATACGGTTGCTGCAGAGTTTCCAAGTTACACAAATTATCTCTACCTTACCTACAACGGCTCAGAGAGCGACGTCACATTCAACGATCACGGTGTAAGTAACCTAGGCAGCCCCTTTAGATGCTTCCTGTCGATATTATTTTGCTAATCATATTGCAGGTTCTTGTTCTCGGTTCTGGTGTCTATCGTATCGGATCGTCTGTCGAGTTCGATTGGTGCTCGGTCAGAGCAATCAGAACTCTCAGAGAGACTGGCTTCAAGACAGTCATGGTGAATTATAATCCTGAGACCGTAAGCACTGATTATGACGAAGCAGACAGGCTTTACTTTGAGAACATCAACCTCGAGACCGTTCTAGATATTTCCCAAATCGAGTCGTCTGGTGGAGTTCTCATTTCGATGGGTGGACAAACACCAAACAACATTGCGCTTCCCCTTCACCGTCTGGGCGTCAAGGTCTTGGGTACCTCGCCGGAAATGATTGACAATGCAGAAAATCGGTACAAATTCTCTCGTATGCTTGACCAAATTGGTGTCGACCAACCAACGTGGAAAGAGCTCACCAGTTTCGAGGAAGCTAAGAGCTTCTGCAATACTGTATCATACCCTGTTCTCGTCAGACCTTCATATGTTCTGTCCGGGGCTGCCATGAACACGGTCTATTCGGAAGCGGATCTTGAGGCTTATCTCAAACAAGCTACTGATGTTTCTAAGGATCACCCAGTGGTTATCACTAAATATATTGAGAACGCGAAAGAAATAGAGATGGACGCCGTTGCCCAGGGCGGTCGGATGGTTGGCCACTTCATTTCTGAGCATGTTGAGAATGCCGGTGTTCATTCCGGGGATGCTACGTTGATACTCCCCCCACAGGATCTTGAAGCCACGACCATCCGAAGAATTGAGGAGGCTACTCGCAAAATAGGAGCTGCCCTGAACATCACTGGTCCTTACAATATCCAATTCATCGCCAAGGATAACGACATTAAGGTTATTGAGTGTAACGTTCGAGCTTCCCGATCATTTCCTTTCATCTCAAAGGTGATGGGTGTCGATTTAATTGAGCTAGCAACTAAAGCAATAATGGGAGTGCCTTTCATGGCATACCCTCCAACTTCGTTGCCAGATAACTGTGTGGGCGTCAAGGTTCCCCAGTTCAGCTTTTCCAGACTCTCCGGGGCCGATCCAGTTCTTGGTGTCGAGATGGCTTCCACTGGTGAGGTTGCTTGCTTTGGTGCGAACAAGTACGAGGCATACATCAAGGCACTCATCTCCACGGGTTTCAAGCTACCAAACCGGAATATTCTATTTTCCATTGGTTCTTACAAGGATAAGAAAGAGCTGCTTCCATCTGTGGCCACACTACACAAATTGGGCTACAAACTCTTTGCTACCGCTGGAACAGCCGATTTCCTGCAGGAGCATGATATACCAGTTCAGTATCTTGAGATTTTGGGCAAGGATGAGGATGACCAAAAGTCGGAATACTCTTTGACACAGCATCTTGCAAACAACATGATTGATTTGTATATCAATCTACCTTCCGCCAACAGATACCGAAGACCAGCGAATTACATGAGTAAAGGCTACAAGACTCGACGTATGGCTGTCGATTATCAAACCCCTCTTGTCACCAATGTCAAGAATGCGAAGATTCTCATTGAGGCCATTGCAAGGCAATTCCCCATGGATATTAGCGATATCGATGTTCAAACAAGCCTCAAGCCTGCCATTTTTGCTGATAATGCATCAGAAGCTACAAATGTTTCTACATTGGGTCCCGCGAGTCGATCAAGATTCCTGGATGGGGCTTCATCACAAGCTCCTCAGCGAGACATTGCTGCTCTGGATATGAACGGCTCAACCTTGTATCCTCAACCCACATTTTCTTCTTCTTTGCGACAACTTTTAGGACAATCTCCATTCAAGGATCAACACGTTTTGTCAGTCAACCAATTCAAGCGTCAAGATCTTCATCTGCTATTCACAGTTGCGCAAGAGATGCGAAAAGGTGTTGAGAAGGAAGGTGTCTTGGATGTTCTCCGTGGCAAGCTTCTTTGTACAATGTTCTTTGAACCATCGACACGTACTTCTGCTTCTTTCGATGCTGCTATGCAGAGACTGGGAGGTCGTACTGTGTCAATTGCAACCGCGCATTCAAGCACCCAGAAGGGGGAGTCCCTCGCTGATACTATTCGTACGCTTGGGTGTTATGGTGATGCAATCGTTCTACGACACCCCGACGAAAGCAGTGCGGACACAGCTGCCAAATTTTCACCTGTTCCAATTATCAATGGTGGTAATGGTAGCAAGGAGCATCCAACACAGGCGTTCCTTGACCTTTTTACCATTCGTGAGGAATTGGGTACAGTGACTGGTTTGACCATTACCTTTGTGGGTGATCTTCGTTTCGGTCGGACAGTTCACTCTTTGGTCAAACTTCTCCAGCATTACGATGTCAACATCCAGCTAGTCTCACCTTCTGCCCTCTCACTTCCATCTGAGATTGTTGATATTATCAAGACGAAGCCAGGACAACTACGTGTTGTGTCGACCGAATTGACACCAGAGATCGTCGCCCAAAGTGACGTTCTTTACTGCACCCGAGTACAAAAAGAACGATTCTCTGATCTTGCAGAGTACGAAAAGTTGAAGGATAGCTTCATCGTCAGCAACGAGACGTTGACAAATGCCAAGCCTCATATGATTGTCATGCATCCGCTACCACGCAACCATGAGATTGCAGAGGAGGTGGACTTTGACCAGAGAGCTGCGTATTTCAGACAGGTATGTTTTTGCATCAGTGATTGAATTCTTTGGCTAACCTTTTGTAGATGAAATATGGGCTGTACTGCAGAATGGCTTTGTTGGCTTTGGTCATGGCTCCGTGAGTGGTAGTATATAAGTGAGCGGCGTTTGGGGGGGGTAAAAAGTGATATTGTTATTTTGGTGTTGATATGGTGTGTTGGAGCGGAGTTTAGTGCTAGATGATGATAAATCTTAAAAATATTTCAAGCGTGTCATTGTTTGTCCCGACGAGTTGGCTTGTCAAAAGTGAATTGCTGTGTGGTTGATGGCGACGGTCTTGTGGGTTGTCGAGACATGGTTACTCAGTTTGGTTGACGCATTATCGTGCATTTTGTGTATTGATTTGACGCATTATCGGATATTTCGTCTATTGACTTGAGAAATTTGAATTTTTTGCATTACGAAGCTGATTACGTCGGGCGATCTAGGAGCCATTACCCGTTGACTCGGCCATGATCAGTTCCTTTATGGGGCATAGAAAAGACGACGGTCACTCAATTCGGTTGAAGCAATATCGTAAATTTGCTCTACGGAACGGACGCATCATTGGGTGTTTCGTCTATTGATTTGAATAACCTAGATTTCGTGGGATGGATTCTGTTAGATTAGAGGTTACTAGAGTAATAGCTAGCGAGTTATCTATTTAACTTATTAGCTAAGAGGCTTCGGTGTACTTGTACTTATTTCGTCTATGGCTACATTTCATTAACTAATATTCCACAGGATTGTATATTTATTAACACCAATATTCATATTATAACCTTCCCTCTTATCTTCTTTAACTCTGGAATAATCGCGGCTGGGACAGACCTGTCTATATAAGCCATAATTCACAGCTTAGGTTATGGCCTTACGGGTTATGTTTGAGCAATCAAGAAAAATAGAGACGTGGTGTTGAATACGGTGGAGAGTCAAACATACAATATAGGCAAATTCAAATGAGATTAGTGTACATAAGTTGAGCGGACTTTGATTGTCGTAGCTCTTCATGTTCATGGTGACTTGTCAGTATGAAGACCCAGATGAGTAAATCTTAGTTTGAAGGACTTTTCTCTAAATAGTGTACAACCAATATTCGTTTATACAATCATAAAATCTCTATCTCTACAAAATTAATGATTAACACTCAACCCCCTCATCCCCCTCTCAACCTCCCCAACAAACCCCCCACTAGACGCCGCACTCGAAGCCCTTGACCTCCTCTCCCGTATCCTCCTCAAAGCATTAGTAGCCTCCCCACCCCTCACCGGTTCATACCCAGCACTCCTCACCCTCCCATCATCCAACCGATACTCCTCCTCCCTAGCCTCCCACCCGACATGCTGTCCCCTAGCTGCATGCTCCTCGTGGCTATACCCCCCATCATACCCACTATCCCTATTGAACCTACTCCTCAGATTCCCCTCGCCAATCTTCCGCGCAAACGTCTCGCTGCGCGGGATGTTGTTCGTGTCGCTCTCACTACGCGTATGGCCGTGCCGTTGCTCGCCATTGAGATAACGCTCCACGCCTTGGAAGATATACTGGATCTGTCCGTTGGCGGTCTCAAATACTGGAGGGTGACGCCAGACGTACTCGGTGCGTGGATAGCCCTCTGGCGTCATGTATGTTTTCTTGCTCGTCAGTACAGGTTCAAGCGTGCTTGTTCCACCGACCACATGGGATGTAGACGAGGAAATTTTATCCGAATTGTGCGATCCGTTCGCGGCGGTTGACCAGAGTGAATTCGAACGGCCTCCCGTGCCTGTTTGCACGATTGCCCAGTTTTGACTCGGACTATGCTGGGAAGTTCGACCTGGGATCAGATGCTCGGGGACTTCACGAAGGCCTTTTCCGTCGGGCGTCGGGACGTAGTGTTTTGTTGGTAAGACGACGGTCTCGATGACGGGCAGGATGCGGTGGAATACATCGTGTGTGTGGATCTCGCGGGTAATGACTTCTTCGAGGACTTCGCGGAGGGTGGGGATTACTTTTTCGTGCGTGACGGCTAGATGAGTGTATTAGCGAGAGTGGCATTCTGTCTGTTCTGAATCTTGTCATGCTCGTAATGCTAATGTCATGCTCGTGATGCTGGTTTGCTGGCGTTCAAACGAGGTAATGGCATTGGTTTGTTGGAACGGTTGGATGAGCGATTGGACCTCGTATATGGCGGACTGGTTGGTGACCACGGAGAATGAGGAGTAGGGGGTGAAGATGTACCAGGTAATTGTCTTGTAGTCACCGTAGTGTCTACCGTGTTGGTCAAATCCACTATGCCATCTAAACTTGGAGGTTCTGAAGCTCCTTCTATGATATAGTTCTCCCGCTTCTCTCGAGGGCTTTGCGGAGGAGAGGCTGTCGATGAATAGGTGGAATAGCTTGCTGATCCATTGCTGGAATTTCCTCTTCGATGGGATCCCACTACCGTGCCTTGACTCGACATCGAGGATGTCCGATGATACCAGTACGGGCTTCGAACGATGGTGGAGCTCGAAGTCTGTCTGAGACGCCTGGGACTAACTATAGGAGAGGGAGCCGCGAAGGTGTTTGCGGTCGGAGACTCAACACTTGGAGTTCCTCTTGCTACCAGTTGCTCGCCGCGAGGGAGAAAGAACGACTGTTCCTGAGAATAGATGGAAGAAGTCCGATTCAATGCAAATAATTTGTTGTAGAAAGATGGAAATGTGGGGGTGGGATCAATAGAATCTACAAAAGCAACGAGAGTGGAAGATTCTTCTTCTATCGAGCTCCGTGACAGTGTAGATCCAGACCTAACGATTTGATCCCTACTACGGCCCCGGACGGGAAGGGAGGGCATTGTGAGTTTGCCATCGTCATCGTACCCTCGATTAGCTGAATAGGATCGACTAGTCACCGAATCGGTTCTTGGAGGGAAGCTAGTCAAAGGGCCAGAACTGTCCGCTGCAGCAATGGCTCGAACGATGGATGGTGACTCGCTAACCCCTAGAATAGCAGATGAGGACGAGGGAGCTGGAGAGTTCCGAGAGAGCGTTGCGGCGCGGGCTGCTGGGGCGACTGCAGGCGTCAGGGCCTGGAAATATTGCTTTTTCAGTGTGTCGTCAGTGGGCGGCGATCCGGGCGTGGATTGGCCTAGAGTGCTGTCTGGAGCTTGGCGAGTCGACGCAGAGCCGAGGCGGTGGTGGTAATTCACGATTGGTCTTAGGCCGGAGCTCGACAATTTGGGAGTAATTTTTGAAGAAGAATATTCTCTTCTCGTGGGTCCAGAAACCGCTATGCCAACATCTTGTTTCCTTGCTAGGCTGGTGTTGCTGCCATTCCCGTTCAGATAAAGTGACTTGAGGTAGCCGAATTCTGGCGAATTCAGACCCAGGTGGGCGATGATATTTCGATCCGCGACATCTTCGCCGTAATTCCTCGTCCCAAGCGCCTGTGTACGGTTCTGCGACCGTTCTCGGTCGTGTCTTATTGTCGAATGCGCATCGAAGAGGTCGACATGCGCTTTTCGAGAGAGTCGGGTCGAGGGAAAGATGTGCGCGAAGCCTTCGGGAATTGCTTGAGAAGAAGGATATCGCCTGACTTTACGCTGCATACTGCCAGAGGCTGATTTTGATCTCGGCCGTGGAATCGGCATTGGTGGAGGTATCGGTGGTGGTGCGGGTATCGAGACATTGCTTGCTGACTTGCTAGATTTGTTAGAACGCACCGAATCTTTTCTCTTATGGCTGAAGAAATTGGGAGGTGATTTCATAGAGAATCCCGATCTCGTCCTCCCCAAATCGCTGGTACTCCGTTCATGCTTCGGAGCATCATTTGAAGCTGTTTGCGCTCTCGTGGGTGGGGATTCGGTTTCTACCTTTCCAGCGCGCGATTTGTATTTGGAACGATTCCTTGACAATGAGAAAGAAGTGCGTGATGCGATGCTTTGTATCGAGTTTCTTCTTGTTCTCGTCTTTTGGATCTCCTGCAATATATTCGGTCCATTCCCTGCCACTGGATATGATCCCGTTACGGGAGGAGTCGCTGCCACTGCCGCATTGTATGAATGTCCTTGTAGTAATGGACGCCCGATTTCGAGACGATCAGCACTCTTTGCGTTTGCATGGTAATGACGGCGGGAGGTGGATGAAGTTCCTGCTTGTCCTGAACGCGAAGTCGCGTTGGAATTTTCGGCCTGTTTATTTACAGTGTTGTTGTTTTTGGCTTTTGCCCTGCCAAATATTTCCCGAATTCCCATGTTCGTGATCGCCTCAGGGATATAAGTTCTCCAGGTCCAGATTGGGAGCGCGTAAATGAGGGCCAAGTGCATGCATGGGCATTACGACGCAAATGAAGCTTTGAGCATGACAACTCAACATCACGCGTTATGGAGTTATGAAAATTGACAACAAACCGTTATGGATGGAATTTTGACAGCTTGTCGAGCGGGAGACTACGCTATCAGCTTGACATGAGCTCCCAACCTCTTTGGGAGCTTCAATTTACCTATCAGCGGGTACGCACTGGTGTCGGCGATGCATTTTCCTCTATCAAACACACAAAAGCATTTGACCAACCAGATTTGTGTTGCTGGAGTGATGTGCAGTTGGGAATTGACCTAGTGGCTTGTCATGCGTACTAAACTTACAATGGTTAGAATACCCCCATTCTATGGAATTTAAGATGATCTGACTGGCCACTTTTCCTCAAAATGAATGCAGTTCGTCCCAGCTCGTTTGGGAGATGTTGGGTTTGAGCCATTTTTCACTTGGTGGACGGCGATGGGTGTTGGAGATCATCGCTGGGCTTGAATTGAAGTTTTTGAGTTGATGGATGAGGTTTTACCTCTGCTGATATCTTGCAGACTCAAGTGCACAGAGCATGCCGCAGTTATTTTTGTGTTTTTCTTTTTGCGCATCTTACCAGCGAGACTCGCGAAATGCTATTGGAAACACGGATATTATATACTTTACGATAACCAAAAGCCCGCAAATGGCTTCTGATTAGAATTAGTCCGGTTCATAGACTTTACTGCAAGTTTGCTTTCTAGTATATCACGAATACGATTGAGGAGTGCAAAGCTAGAAGCTGAATAGCCGTTTCATCGCTGGATGGACCCCACTGACAATCTCTCAAGGACAAAGATTTCAAATATACTGTAAGCGCGCTTGGATCGAAATTAAAGTTTGACTATCAGATACAGTTTGCTTTCGGGTTTCAAGCCGGCCATCTGTCGGTCACGGTGGTGGCTCTTTTTGTAAGAAAATATGGCGATGAAAAAAGGCATAGAAGTAAAGAAGGTAGGAGGAATTCAATAATGAAGAGGTGTTGATTCTTTTTCCAGAACAAGGAGAGCGTATTAGATGTCCACACAGAGCAATTCTTTGCTTGGCTATTTAGCTAACAATGACGTGACCAAATTCTCGGGGAATCCAGTTAGAGTACCATGACCCACGAACAACAACACAACACTTGACAACACAACAATTACTTTTTCGAAATCTAATATTCGGAGATTGTGATGACTTTAATTTCAAGTTGTGGTGTTGTACTGTACTTATCCACACAAATGCACATGAAATTTCAGCCCCATGATGTAACCTTACCACAACAAGTGGTTAGCGGTGGCAATCATGGAGATCACTGGAAACGAAGATCACGATCTAAAACCCCAGAAAGGAGACACGCTTCCATGGAACAGGTGAGCTCCTGTGTAGATCTCCCGGCCAGAACTTATTCCGAGGCAGGGTTTTTGGAGTTGCATTCTTCGTTAACAAATCGTAGATGTGTTCGGTCACTCCGCCAAAACAACTCACACTGCAGTATTGACGTGGATCTCTGTACCTCGTCGAGCTGAAATCTGAGCCTAGACCAGATAGATGTACAATCCCGCGGAGGCCATCGAAAATTGGAAACTGAGAGCAATTGTTTAGGAGCTACCGTACCATCGCCACCGATATTGAAGCTGTTTCCGGAAATCAGGTGCAAAAACGCAATCGTACGTACTCTCTCATGTTGGTCGCGGCTTCTTTACCAATGATATTGCTCGTGGAGCCCTGCTGTTCCATGTTTCTTAGCGCCGCTATTGCTGTTTATCCCGCCGTCCGTTCTTAGTCGATGTATCGCGACATCATTGCTAAGGACTACCGAATCATAAAGTCCATACATGTGTACACTCCATATTTCCGAGACAGCCTTAGGAAACCAAGGACTGGGATGAACGGTACAATCTCGTGGTTTGATGAGAAGATTTCAAAGGGGCCATTATTCAACTTTACCTCCCTGACGTGGCTTGACACCATTCCAGTCTAGATTCGATGCAGTAGTCTCTACAATGCCGTTCAAGCTTTCCCGGTCCACTTGTATGGCTGGATATCAAATTTATCGTCATTGATGATGTAGTGGTTGTGACCCCTCTTAGAGGGGTAAGTGTTCATGCTACCTGCCTTGTTTACATGCCTTTACAACTTATATAATTGACAATCCTACCATTATTTCCTCCTCATACCACATTTGATACCCATCTCATAATCATCATAATCAACACACACAACTTAAACTTTACAACAATCAACTAAATCAATCAAAATGGATAAAGCCAAGCAAGCCGTTTCAGGATTCCTCGCCAAGGATGGAAAGCATGACACCACTGTCCACGAGGTTAGTTTTCGATTCGGCGCTCAAGGTGGTGTTTACTAACAGTTCAGACCATCAACCCAGCTGTCGTCAACGAGCACGTTACTCGTACTCAGTTGAATGAGCAACAGACCGCCATCGATCGTGAGGTACACCAAGACCACTACCACACCTCTGTCCAGCCTGTCCAGGATCGTGAGGTTCTCCCAGAGCAACACACCCACCAGATGGCAGGTGTTGAGCACCGTGAAATCAAGCACGGAAACGATGATCACGTCAAGCAGCGTCTTGCTGCCGAGGCTGCTCAATTCAAGAACACCCGCGAGGTTGGTGAGGTTCAAACACAAACCGCTGCTGGTGCTACCGTCGCTGGTGAGCACGTTCACCACCACGTCCACGAGAACATCCAGCCAGTGATCCAAAAGGAGACCATCCAGCCATCTGTTGTCCACACCACCGTCCCAATCCACGAGGTTCACCAGAACGAGGCCAAGCACCACACAGCCACTCAGCTTCCAGCTGTCAGCTTGAGCGAGTTCAAGAGCCAAGGAGGTCACCTCGGCGGTCGTGAGGAGCGTACAGATGCTTTCCAGGGTGAGCCAAGATCTGTTGGAGGAACTCTTGGTGGTAAGGGTGCTCACGGCACCACTTCTCTTACCGAGGAGGGTGCTGGTCGCCACGGACACTCTTCTACTACCGGACCACACAGCGTAAGTTTTCTCATCCAACGTTTGTAATTTTTTCTCTAATGTCCCCAGTCAAGCGCCATGAACAAGGCAGACCCACGTGTGGACAGCGATCTTGACGGATCCCGAACTGTCGGTCAGACCGGCTCAAGCAACTACACCACCAGCGGAGCCCAGAACCCATCATCAGGTATTGGATCAACTTCAACAGCACCACGCACAACTGGAACTGGTGTCGGACACACCACATCAAACACCACCCACGGGTCTCACGGATCTGAGACTAAGCACAAGCCAAGTTTGATGGATAAGCTCAACCCAAAGGTTGATGCTGATGGAGATGGAAAGGCTGGTTTCATGAAATGAGCGAATAATTCGGGATTCATTCTTGACCTTGTATAATTAATAGGAGTAATGGTTTTGTCTCATTCCGAGCGATAGCCGAAGCGAATATAATTTGATCCATATATGTTTGAGTAGTTTTGTCACAGTAAATCATTATGTAGTAAGTCATTGTGCATCGATTTGAAACTAATTCTAAGTGTGCACCATGGGAATGATATGTGCTCAGTCTTCCTCGTTCGTAACAGCGTTCGTAACACATAATATTGCTTTCTTATTCCAAGTCCCACTGGACTCCTTGGGTTTGAAGCCGAACTGCCTTGGTCGCAACTCCGATGATCACATCCAAATAGCCGAGACGTCATCTTTTTGGGAAAGACACGAGTGTCAGAGCTGCTTCATAACGCAGTGCCTTTTGCCATTCATTATAATTAGCATTGAAGGGATCTTTTAAAGGTTTGCTCCAATGACAGTTTCTTCCAGCACGTGTGAGGCTGTTGAATTTCGCAGGTGTTTCAATTTTGGTAATGGCTAAAATCGCACGGGATGGCGGCTCTTTCGCCGAACAACCTCTTCATGCCCCTTATCCTCCCTCGTAAAAAAGTAGCTATCTACATTTAACCGAATAGGCCGAGTAGACTAAGATTCTTTTTGTCGTTCGATGGGATTGCGCAACCGCTGGTCATGTATGATATCTCAGATTTCCCCACATTTGTGCCTGATCGATCTGCTTTCACCAAATTCGGGATTGTGTACCTTTATCCGCTGTACCTTGGAGCAGAATGTGTTTCTTTGAATCAGCCTCTACGATACTGAAACTACCCGGTGTAAAGTCGGGCCTTTTTAAGGGTAGATTGATGCCATCAAGCTCAATCAACGTGGTGGAAGTGGCATATAAAGAGGTTCAAGATTGCATCAATTGACCACCATCCAATATCCTCATCATGAAGTACATAACAGCCACCGCGTTGCTCGTCGTAGGTGTTTTGGGCCGCCCAATGACCAACACGACGGATACAAATCCATTCATCGGAAAAAACTACTTCGCAAACTCAGGATATGCCGCAAAATTGGAAACCACAATCAAAGCATTCCTCGCCAAAAACGATACTTTGAACGCAGCTCGAGTCAAAACCGTACAAAAAACAGGAACCTTCGTCTGGGTGACCACCGTCAGTGGACTAGATGCCATCGACAAAACCATTGCCGAAGCACGCGCTGAGCAACTCCGAACTTCGCAAGAGCAGATTGTCCAATTAGTTCTCTATGATCTACCAGATAGAGATTGTTCAGGCGGAGAATCAGGCGGCGAATTTTCATCCACGGCCAATGGATTGGAGCTTTACAAGACGACATTTGTCGACTCATACGCGGCTCGCGTTAAATCCGCACCGGATCTGACGTTTGCTATTATCCTAGAGCCAGATTCCCTGGGAAATCTTATCACGAATCAAAACGTTCCGTTTTGTGCTAACGCGTCGGCCATTTATGAGGAGGGGATTGCGTATGCGATCTCGCAGTTACAGGCACCGCATATTTCGTTGTATATTGATGCTGCTCATGGTGGGTGGTTGGGTTGGGATGGGAATCTTGGACCTTGTACGTATACAATCTTCTGTCAGATTCTGATGCTAACATTATGTAGCTGCCGCCGAATTCGCCAAAGTCGTAGGACTCGCCCAAAATATCACCGCTGGAGCCACGATCCGCGGGTTTTCAACCGACGTCTCGAATTTCAATCCATATATCGCAAATCCACGTGCAAACTACACGGAATGGTCTAACTCATTCGATGAATTCAACTACGCTAAATCTTTGAGCCCGCATCTCATCGAGAATGGTCTTCCGGCGCACTTCATCATTGATCAAGGAAGAAGCGGACTCCAGAATACCAGGGATTCTTGGGGTGAATGGTGTAACGCTGTTGCTGGGTTTGGAATCAGACCGACTACTGAGACGAATAGTACGTTGGTTGATAGTATTGTTTGGGCGAAGCCGGGAGGTGAGTCGGATGGAGCTTGTGGGCCTGAGGTGGAGGGGACGAAGGGTCCGAATGCTGGGTTATGGTGGGATGAGTATGTGCAGATGTTGGTTAAGAATGCTGAGCCACCGTTAGAGATTAACTAGATTCTAGATTGGTTGGATCTAGATTGTATATAAGAGTTGGGGATATTGAATAGCGAATTTTGAATAAGAATATGGTTTTGAGTGAGTTGGAGGTTGGACCTGTGACTTAGTCCGTTTCACAGATTCAAGGAATGAGCTGTCTCAAATAGAAAACTGACATGAAGATTGAATAGATCATGCTGTCCGTAGGTGTTGCGACTCTCAAGTGATGGAGGGAGACCGAGGGTGAAAGAGCATGTGAAAGAGAAGACAGATGATTCGGGACGTAAACTGTGTGCTTGAGCTAATATTATATCATTAACGCGTGAGACTACATTCTGATCCACTCAAAATCCAACATTACTAGCTGTAATCAAGTTCAACCATCCCGCGAGTCTAAAATTGTTAGCCGTAAATCCTCATTCAAAAATATCTCAACATACCTGTAACCAGCCTTCGCAATCTGAAGTTGAACAACAGGAAGTGCCTCTGCGTAATATTCGCCTCCAAGATCAACAGCTTCAGTCGCATTTCTTCCATCTGGCAAGACAGCACTGCAAACATATGAATTGGTATCCCGTGCCCACACCATGCTTGATGCTACAGGGTCGCTCAATTTAAGCCCATCAAGCCATGAAGCGGAAGCCTTGCTGTAAGCCCCGTATTTGATAGTCTCGGTAAGATTGGTCGCCCACGTTTTGGCGTTCACAAAACTAGCTGTCCCGGCGAATTTCTGAGGAATCGATGTATCCCACTACATCAAGTTAAACCAAGCGCGGGAAAGATGATTGAGGGACGTACCACAGAATGAAGGTTCGTGCTGACGCCGTCGAACTTTACTTTGATGCCATTTCCACCAAGCTCAAGGTTCTCGTCGTGTAGTGGCTGATGGATGTCGCCCAGGAACTGGACAGAATTTATAAGTACAATGACTGAGTTCTACGTTGTGACCATGATGGGAGAATGGTGGATAGCAAGAGTCTCTTCAAGAGAGAGGCTAGATTTCCGTGCCGTGATCGGAATGAGGTGGGGATTGTGGTTGGATGGATTGAAGTAGGAATACAGGTTATGATATCCCGACTTACGTGAACGATCATCTGGGCGTGTTAGTATGTGGTACTGTATGGATTTGAGACGAGTTACCTTTGCTGCTAAAGCTACATCTGCTGCCTTGAGTCTTCTGTTTTGAACTCGTTGAGTCTGGAATGGATTAGCTCGAGCGCGAAAATCCCGAAAACGTAGCGCGTACGTAGTTGCTGATAGCGCTCACGACACAACCTGCAGCAGTGCAATCACGTTCAAAGTCAACCCCACATGATTCTGGTGGGTTGTCCAAAGCATCGATGTAATGAAATGGCGCTGTGAATGTTCCCGCAGCGGTTGAGCGATAAGAATCAGCCTGTCGACTTGTTAATATTTGATTTTGATGAATAACTGTGAGACTGACATATGCTGCAACTGAGGCTAGGTAATCGGCACTGGTGTCTCCTAGAATTGCTTGGAATTTGGCTTGTGTAGCATTTGTTACTGTTGTGGTGGTTAGCGGGGTCACATCGCAGCCCGTTATTGCATAGCCTCTAACAACTGTCCAGATTTGACGATTCGAATACTGGCAAATGATTTTAGAAGCAGAGAGATAGAGTAGCCTACCGAAATTCGAGGCAATATATCCTACAGTATAATGACCAAGCGCTCCCCAGCACGCAGCTTTCTGTACCGCAGAAGCGAGGATCAATAACGAAATGGAGCTGAGGTTCTTCATTTTGAGAGATTTCGAGGACAACCTGTTTCACGAATTCTCAACAACGGAGGAAGTCTAGAATATATATTTCCAAGAGGCGAATAGCGCGTTCGGGTTATTTCTCCATTGAGAAGGAGCAAAACCCCACAGCCAACGGATCGAAATGTTTCTTGAATAAGCTTTCGAAAGTTATTGAGGCTGATGGATTTCATGCAGGAACGGGATAATCGAGAGGCGAATCAATTCCTTCGTGCTGCTGTTTGCAACATTATTGGTCGCTTAACCACCTTCCCCTTTCGCTTATCGCCTCTGGGGTTTGGGGCGTGCCGAATATGATTGCTACGAACGGTGCGATAAGTGGTTGAGGGGAAGTTGGTAATACCGGCGAGGGACGTTAATGCAGCTTAAGGCATGGTTATCTTCTCGATTAGGAATGAGGGGTTGGTCTACCTATCGAGATGAAGATTTTGGAGGTTTACATGGCGGTGACTAGGTTGGCGGCGGCGAAACCCGAGAATCTGGAGCTCAGAAGTGGTACATGGTAATGGTGAAGCATCGTGACAGGATGAGAAGAGAAAATGATTCTAAATGATGATTTGAGGGTAAGAAGTCGGTGTTGATGAAAAGAGGGATTGCAAACAGCCGAGGTCAAAAGCGTTGTCTGCCAAGATTCCGCCGTTGGTTCCTTCGTGTAACTTTCTTCATGACCTGCAAAGTCTTGTATTATAAATGCTGTACATAGAGACTACTGTTGAGATAGATTTCAGAAACTTCACTGTCAAGGTCTGTGACAGCTGTGCCTCTCGTCAATATGAAGATCAAGCATGGAGACATCCCCCACTTTCGTCGCACGTTTTTACCACCCCGAATTCCAGATTATGATCAAAAATTCCATCCAGGACTCTGCGGATGATTCAACATCTTGACACAATCGATTCAATTTACGATGCGCTCAATATTTTACTTACTCGCGCTCACAGCGACATCTTTGGCAGGAGATCCGCAAAAGATCTTGAAACAACCACTTCGTCAAATTGCGGAATATTATCATCTCCCACCGCTTCGCGAACAAGCAGCAATTCAGGATAAATGGACCAAAGAAAGAATTGACAATGTTCCTGCTATATTGAACAAGTATGGGGTAGATGCTTGGCTTGTAAAACTTTCGCACCCATTTTCGACCACTAGTTGATGATTTTAGATGAGCCAAAAAGAATATGCTGAAGATACTGTGTTCTGGTCATTGAAATCTGCAAAACAATTCTCCGCTCGGCGAAGAACTGTGAATCTGTTCATCGCCAATCCTACAAAGGGAACGCCTTCGTCGTATTCGTGGATTGACAACACGCCTGAAGTATGGTCGGATATTCTGGAGGTGCTGGAATCGCAAAATCCTTCCAAGATTGCCATTAATGCTGATGAGAGCTCGGCTTTCAGTGGTGGGCTGCATGTCGGTGAGCTGGGGATTCTCCAAAGTCAGCTGGGAAAGTGGGCAAAGAGGTTTGTGGTGGAGAGGATGGTTGCAATTGAATTTGTTGGGACAATGGTTCCTGGGAGATTGGAATGGTACGAGAAGCTTCAACATACAGCTTGGGCGATGATCTCTGAGGGCTTTTCATCGAAAGTCATCGTTCCGGGTGTGACGAGGACAGAGGTAAGGATTTATTCTTCTGGTGGACATGGCTGACTGAACAGGACGTCGAATGGTGGCTTCGTGATAAAATCCAGCAAATGAACTACACGACCTGGTTTCATCCAGATGTTAGCATTCTCGGCGAAAAGTCTCCGTTTGAGATTACTGAGTCGCCAGTCATTAATTATGGTGATCTTTTGCACGTGGATTTCGGTGTCACTGCTATGGGGATGAATACTGATACCCAACACATGGCATATGTTCTTCGCCCGGGTGAGACGGATTCGGATATTCCAGTCGGATATCTGGAGGGTCTTAAGCAGGTCAACAGGCTACAGGATATTGTAAAGGGGTATATGGTACCGGGAGCGACAGGGAACAGTGTGCTGGAAAAGAGCTTGAATAAAATGAGGGCAGAGGGATTTGATGGAAGGGTGTATTGCCACCCTATTGGAGACTGGGGACATGCTGCCGGAGCGCTGATAGGTATGAGAAGTCTCTTTTTCTGAGATGAAGCTGACAAATTAGGAATGTTCAACCTCCAGGAAGGTGTCTCTGTCCTTGGAGAGGTACCTTTGCTCAAACAATCCTATTTCAGCGTCGAATTGTATGCTGAGCATTTCGTGCCGGAGAGGAATCTGACGATGAACTTTTTTCTGGAAGAGGATGTTCGCTGGGATGAGAAGACTCAGCAGTGGGTCTGGGTTGTCGGAAGGCAGGAGAAGTTTCACTTGATTCATCCTGCGAAGTAGATGGAAAGACAAATTCCATAATTGGCACGTTCGTGAACGAGAACTCTTTCTCCGAAGTCGTTAAAACTGAAGGTGGTTGCAGCTTTTTGGTACGATCACGACTTGAAGCCCATTTCCTCCAGTCTTGTCGCGCACCCGACCTCATAGGATTAAGAAAACTCTTGTCAGCACCTTTCTTCTCTGCTCGAATTAGTAGTTTCTAGGTGATACCGACTCTCAAATACACATTACTTAGTTGAAAAATGTCAATGTGACATTCTACAAATCTACAGCTCAATCAAGTTATTGGAAATTTCACTCTTGTTGCCTTTAACCGTGCTTTCGTTGTCGGCTTATTAATTTCAAGCGCTTCCACCTCTTAGTTGTACAGCTTGAACCCCGTCTATATTTGGTCTAAACATTACAACTTTCCCTTTTTGTACACCTTGTGATATGATGTCTTGTTAGTGCACTTCTTCCGCATTCTTAGCGGTGAACCCTTTTCGCCCTTGCTCAACTGTTCTCCCACTAAATCATCGAATGACCTCTCGAACTGGTGCATAGTCCGGATCGTCATTTCGGAGATACACTAAAGTTCCCTTTGTGGTTTGTTTTAAGCCTCGCGAGGTAATACTTTTGATCTTCTGGAGCTGTCCTGATCAACGTCCGAGGTTTTACTCCCCTTGATTTCTTGCCCAGCTGGGCTACACCAAGTTTCAAAAGTATAGAAGCCATTGCCAGCAGACTTTCAAGTGTCTTGAACAACCCTATCACACGATTTCTGCCCAAATTGCCATTTGTAGAGAGTCGAGCGAGAAAAGAATCGGCATCAAGTTTCGTACTATCTATCTCTAAAACAGAACCAATTGAAAGCCAGATTCTAAAATTCGTCTACCATAGATAAAGACCAAACCCTTTGCTTTGATCGTATTCACGGGATTGAGTTTAACTAGTGGTATGGATGTTAGCGTCACCCCGTTCTCTGAGATCATAAGCTGCAGGAATTCTATATACATCCTTCAAGCTAAGGATATTATGTTCCTTGTGCAATTTTCCTTGCAACATAAGAGCGAGAACCAAAAGCGAAGGCATTTCTGGATGTGTCGAAACGAACTGAAGCTCTCTCCAAGCTTCCAGTACTTTGCCGGATCTCAAAAGGCTTTTAGCCGCTGTTATATACCTATGATCAGTATGTGAGTGTTCTCCCTTTTCGTGCCATGGTAGCTTTATCTGCTCGAGTGATCCCTTTACGCTGGTTGAAAACGCTCGAGCTAACTGCTTCATGTCGCTCAGCGAATCAATTCGCATTTGCCCTATATCTAGAAGCCTCTCTTTCATAAGTTCAGACTCGAGGAATTTCTGAGCTTCCATTGGGCCACTGGATTGAACGAGTCCAAGACAGTAGTATGCAAGACTTCGCAAAGTATCTGAATGATCCTTACCCAGCAATGTTTTCCGTCCTTCAAATGATTCTCTCAGCAATTTCTGGGCATTTTCCATCTCTCCCAGTTGGAGTAAAATGCATCCGGTCTGCTCAGCGCTAGAAAGAATATCTGGAAGGATCCCCGATTCCCGTCGTCTTCCCAAAACGTCTTCGCTTATGACCTGGGCTCCACGATACCCTCCAATTGTCTCCAGGAACCAAACATAATTGTACTTGCTTAAAAGCCGATCTGGGTGATTATGCGATAATAAATTTCGATAACCAAGTGCGTTTTGGATGTGAGAGTTAGCTTCTTCATCTTTGTTCTGAACTCGGAGGATCGAGGAATAAGTGTCGATGCTGCACAGCGTATCTGGATGGGCACTACCGAGTATCGTCCGCCTCTCTTGAAGCGATCTCTCACACAGCGTTTCAGCTTCCCGATAGAGGCCAAGACAACAGAGGGTAGAGGCATAGCTTTCAAGGCTGGATAAAAAATCGGGATGCTGTGTTCCCAACATTTGTTTTCTGGTGACCAAGATATTGTTGCCCAGACTTTCGGATTCTTCGTACAGTCCTTGTAGTCGTAATAATACTGAGTAATTGTGTAGAACTGACAACATGCCGGGAGAATTGACCTTGACTCTATGATTTTGGGCAAATAAAGCCGACCTAAGGGAAGCTTTCGCCTCCTTATATTTGCCAAGTCTTAGATAAACCATGGAGAGACTACTGACTGTGCCTAAAATATGTGGATGTTTACTTCCGAGCCACATTTCTTGTTCCCGCAATAGATCTTGGTATGTACGTTCAGCAGGCTTATATCTTCCGTTTTTAAACTCAATCCAAGCTTGGTCACTTGAAAAGTTGATGGAGTTCGGATGCATGGTGTGTTCCATTTTGATTTCTGTTAATGCCCGACGGCTCTCACGACACGCCTCCGTATACAAGTCTTCTGCTTCTACGTAGTGTCCTTGATATCGATACACAGACGCTAAAGTTCTCATGCTAGTGATGGTATCTGGATGGTTGTCACCTAGCACTTCTTGTCGTCGTTTATATGCGCTTTCAACGCCTTCCTTCGCAACTGCAAGTTTGCCTTGGCTTAGGAATACGGTAGCGAGATGGGCCAGGGTGGTTAAAGTGTCAGGATGATTTTCTCCTAATCGATTTCGCCTTAAACCTAGTGTCTCCTGCATGTGGTGGGCTGCATTTTCATATGCCCCTTCGGCGTGGAGAATATCCGCGTATGCTTGCTGGCTAGCCAGCGTATCTGGATGCTCGTCTCCTAGCAGCCGCAATCTCCCCTCGAACGCCCGTATGATCTCATTTTTGGCATCTTCATATAGGCCTAGGCAGTGAAGGACTGTGGCGTATTGATGATGGGATGCTAAGGTATCAATGTGCTCTTCGGGAAGACTGTTTTCTCTTTTTTCAAGCGCTTGAAAGCTGTGTCTTCTAGCATCTTCGTACATTCCCAGGCACTGGTAAACAACGGAGAAATTATCGTGATCTTCCAAGCTCTCCTCTATTCCAAGTAGTTTGCAGCGCCTGTCTCGTGCCTCTTTACATTGGAGGAAGGCTTCAGTATATCTCCCTTGACCCCGAAGGAGGGCGGCGTAATGGTCAATACAAGCCACGTAATCCAATTCAGTCTCTGGCGTTTTGGCTCTTGTTTTTAAATTCTCCATGAGTTTTAGAACATCCTGGTGTTTGACTCCTTGAATCTCATGATATCCTTGAAACCGCAGGTCACGAAAGTTACGATTTCTCGATGCTACCGGATGAACCGGCCCCCAGATCTTCTGGTTGAACCCGAAGGTTTCTCTTGCAGATGCCGCTGCAACCTCGAATCGACTGCGTTCCCACAAACAAATTACAACCTTTTCTTGCATCCTTAGAAGTCTCTGTTGAAGAGGTTCGAAGAGCCTCCTCGCCTGTATCTTGCTGCTGTCTTCATCCAGGCATTCTTCGAAGAATCTAAGAATTGATATGATGTGGCTCAAAATCTCTTCGTATTGAATAGAACGATTTAACGGATCGATTTCATGAGCTGCGTCCCCGATAGCGTTATGGAGTCTCTCTATTTCCCCACTGATACGTCTATGACGCCGCTGCCATTGGAAAACCGTCGAAGTTATTTGCTCCCGAAGTTTCTTCCTGGTGAGTTCCTGCACAAGTTTATGGATTGACAAAGATTCAAAACCACCATGAGTCTGCTGTGTCAGAAACGAGAGCCTATCAAGCGTTCTTATGAGGTCGATCACTCGAGGAGTAGGATCATTTTGCTTCTGAGGGGCCGCGGGCTTTGACCAAGAGAACAAAGAGGAGAGAAGTGCGTTTACTGGAGCTTCTCGAATACTCTGTAAGATTGCAGCTGGCTTCTCAAACAGTCTAACGCTGATACTAGATGGATCATAAATGGAGAGATCATCCACAAAAATGGCTGCAGCAGTTTTCGGATTTTGCTTCAGCTCAAAGAAGAAGTCAAATGCATTCTCCAAAATTGGTGTCGCTTGATAAAGTGGATGATCTTGATAATGGGGGTTGCGTATGTCCCAACTGAGCGCCTAAGTCACAAATTAGCCCTTGCATAATTATCAGGCAGTGACCTGACGAACCTTGTTTCTTGCTTCCCACGCTGAATTCAAGTTTTCCTTTTTGGCGTAAGTTGCTGCAACTTGAATCGCGAGGGGTAGATTTCCAACAGCGTTGAGAACATCTGATATTTTGCTCTTCTCTAACTCGCTGAGTAATTTGATTTTCGTTGTTCGGTCAAAATCAAACTTCCAAATTCTCACAAACATATCAGTGGCACTTCCAGTATCCAGTACTTTGACCTCCCAGCAACGATGGGCGTCAGTAGAGATATGCTGAAGAATGTCCTCGGCTATTAATCTAGATCTTGTAGTAACAACGACTTTGCAGTGTGAGCCTCGCGTAGGAAGGACATGATGTTGCAAGATTGAGCATGTCTTGTCGTGAACATCATCCAATATGAGAACGCAATTTTTAGGAGATTTGAAGTCTAGCCAGCTCTTCAAATGTCTTCTTCTATCAGTCATGTCAACTTGCGGTTCTCCAAGGATAACGTGAGTAGGAAGACATTGATTCAAAGCCTTCGAAATAGACTGATCAAGCGCGCTCTCAGTGGATGCATTGAGCCATATAATACTGGTGTCTCTTGACTCTCCACGTAGATATTTGCCCACCAGTGCAGTCTTACCAACACCTGCCATGCCCCACATGACACAGTACGACGGACACTCGCCATTCCCAACAGGGGATTCAAGCAAAGTCTTCATGCGACTTAGTTCCTCCGCTCTACCTACAAAGTATGGCAGAATTTGCCCAGAAATAGAATGCACAGGCTGTAGCGGAGGCATTTTCGGGGTGGGACCTTTGTTCGCTAATGTTAGAAGCAAATATTAAATTTGGTTTTCGCTATGAAGGGAGCTCACTTGCTGTTTCAAAATGGTTGTGGATTGTTTGTTCTTTAATGAGTGTTAGCGCCTTTAAAGGTGTAGTTATGAAAAAATAACACTATACTGTTTCGTGCATTTCCACTTGCAATGAGATGACCTGATGACATAGATCCTTTCGACTTTGAGGAACCTTTTCGTTCCCAGCTCCCAATTGTTAAGTCTCGACGAGGAACTTCTCTCGCTACTTGGTTACCGACGGAACCAGATGGAGATAGGTTGCAGGGCGGAGTAGCTGGTGGATCCATATCGCCTTTCAAGACGTGACAAGCCCGCGTTCACGACAGCGATGTGTGCGACGCTCAGTCATTCCGTTATTGGACGCAGTACCGAGCGGGAACTTGCAATTCAGCTGTTAAGGTAGCAGCAAACTACACTGGGCTAGAAACTCGTACTGGTGCTATGTACACTGCTCTCAATTCAAAAATTTGAAGTGTGTTTGCACACTGGGACGAGGCTAGCTGAACAGTATTTACTGTAACGTCGTATTGTGTAACCTGACGCTGCTCATGCAACTCGGTGAGGGGAAGCACCCAATCGAGCTCAACACCAATTAGCTACGACTGCGCAAATTTCATGTTCCAGCAATAGCGGAATCGACGCTTATATTTATGTGTATTGGGCTCGGGTCGTCCCGAGCATGTCGAAAGCTTGAGCCTCATAGGTAATTTGGTGGTTTTGGCAGATTAAATAGACGTAGAAAACAGAAATTGTCGCTTTTTGGTCATGACGAATACATATTACTCAGTTCAATCGGTGAGGAGCATCCTGGATTCAAGGCAATGCGCTCAAGTTATCCCAGGTCAGCCTGCCAATGGCATTCGCCTGCATGCTTACATCGCAGGCGCCACACACTATCTCGGCTTTTGCCAGATTGCCAAAGATACACTGACTTGCATGGTGCGTGGATTTGCATATGCTAGGGAATTCGGTATCGGAGTGACATAAAGTCCATCTGCGGCCGCCCATAACTTTGCGTTTACCTGTTTCTCAAGTCTTCTACATCTCGTCGATCCCCATAGTCTACAGACTCACTAAGTACCTGGACACTACTCAAAATCACAAGCTGTTTGTGCATCATGGCAAGTGAAAGCCCAACCAAGTATTCTGAAATCGTGGCAGAAGACCTCAATAAGTTATTCGACGCGGGCGACGAGGCTGAAGTGGAGTTGGTGTTTCCATTTATTATCCAGAGCATCACTGCTGATTAAACTCAGTGTAGTCTTTGTCCACGGTCTGAGAGGCCACCCAAAGTCTACTTGGGAAATGCTTGACCCTACAGATCCAACCGAGTCAATTTTCTGGCCTAAGGACCTGCTTCCTGAAACGATAAAAGCCTCTCGAATTTTCAGTTTCGGATATCCCACGGACTTTGCGACCTTTTATCCTATTGTCACCCCTGAATCCATTGCACATACGACTATCGATAATCATTCGAGTTCATTAATACTGAAATTGGCCAACGAAAGGCGTGACACCAACACGGTAGTTCTGTCATACACTTTTACTTTTAGATCAGTATATTGATAGCTTTTCCAGTCATCTCGTCCAATCATCTTCGTCGCACACTCGCTCGGGGGTCTCGTGGTTGCAAATGCACTGGCAAACCATTATGGGTCAGATGTTCAGGGCGAAGAAGTTGTGGAACATACATGCGGGGCCATCTTTCTGGGCACGCCCTTCAAAGGCTCTGACAAAGCAATGTGGGCAAAGATGGCCAAAAAAGTCCTAGGCATGTTTGGAGATAGCACTGATCAAACAATCCGAGACCTCGATAAGCGCTCCACGAAGCTGCAACAGATCAGCATTGACTTTCACTTGCTATTACAGAAGCGATACGCATCGAAGGACCAAAAGCCCATTCAAGTTGCTTGCTTCTTTGAGCAGAAAACAACGAGAAAGACCTGGTGGAAGGCCAAGAGTGATCTTGGACAGATAGTCACCGCCGACTCGGCTACCCTAACTGGATTCAACCCCATTGGAATTAGTGCAGACCACATAACAATGTGCAAGTTCCCCGATGTACAGACTCCGGGTTATAAGGATGTGACAGGGAAGATAAAGCTCATGATTTCGAACTTGAATAAACCAACCGAGGAGTTGAATGTAAGACCTTTGAGTCCCATATCCTGAGTGCCACTCCGAATTAGGTAAATATACTAACAAATAACATTAGAAAGGGGGACAAACCGTAATAACTTTCGGTGAATTCAAAGCAGGCGATAACAATGTGAATATGGGAGGATACGTGATGGGTCATGTTGTGGGTACTACAAAAGAGGCCGTGAATTTCACTCTCGCCAATAACGTTCGTTTCAGCCTCTCCTCCCAAGTTATTCTTGCTTACATTCTTTCAATTATAGTGGGGGGGTTCCTCAAGCAGTTCCTCTCCTTTGGAGACTGCTATAGCAGAACAAAAAAAAAGAAATCAAGAGAGTGAGGGACACTAGTCATCTATCGATAATGCAACGGAGACAGATTGATAATGATGAGGTTGAAGGCTTCATCTGATGGAGTATACAGTATTTTGTCTTTCACCTCGGAACCGTCTAATTCGGGACAGCTACTATTTTTCGTAGTCTTAGAAGCATAATCAGATATTTGGAAACATGTAGTCTAAAGAGCGGCCCCGAAACAAAATAGCAGAAAATTACATTCTTGAAACTTAAACCGTTATAAGTTAAGAGTAATAGTATTCTAATAATAAGGTATCTATTAAATAAGACTCTTTAATTTCTGGCGCTAATTATAGATTAGTATTTAGTTTAAAAGATAATCTTCTCCTCTATACTATATTTCTTACTAAAGAAATCTAGTAGCCTAATATTATCGATACTTATCTAGAGAAATATTTAAACATTACTTTTAAGTATAATACTACTTAAATAAGGTATTATTATAAGCTAAGCTTAAAATAGTATAGAAAGTAGATATTTTACTAAGAATACTTTAAAATTCCTAGTACTTAGGGTATAATACAACCGTTACTTTAGGATTTTCTTCTACTTTTCCTTTAGAGTTAAAGTAGGTAAGAACATCTTGCCTACGGGATTTGTATGCCTAGTGACTAACAAACTATTGTAGATATTCGTTAGATTCGCTAGGCGCAAACTAACTCTACCTATAATTCCAGACATTGTTTTGCCTTATAGTAGGGCTACTGTAAAAATTTAATCCTAGCTACTATAAGAAAAAAGTAGGTTTTAGAGACCTATTTTTATAGTAGGTCGAAAAGAGGTAGAGTTATTCTTAAACGATATACTTAATATATATTAAACGTAGAAATTTAACTAAGCTAACCTAGGAAAAAATAAGATTCTAGAAAAGTCTTAACCTTATAAAGTTATATATATTTCTAGTAAAGAGTAATAAGTCGAGAGTTTTTATATTTCTACCCTTACTTTTTAAGTAAGGTCTAAGCTTACTTTATAACTCTTCTAGCTATATTATACTAGTCTTATATATAATTATAGTTATTATTTTATAATACTAATATAGAGCTAGTATAGAGCTATATAAAGAAGTAAAAAGTATTATAATAGTATTTTATTAAAGACTATAAGAGTAATAGAAGAATTATAAGAAGAAAAAAAGAAAAAAAGAAAAAAATTAACTATTACTACTAAGCTATTATAGTATTAATAGTACCGGTAGATAACTAATATATTCTTATTCTTATTCTTAATCTACTTAAGCTTTAAAAATATTAAAAAAAAGAAAGAATATATAGTAGGAAAGCTATATAGCCGAGGCAATATAGTTTTCCCTCTATACGTAGTAGAAAAATGCTTATTTTAATATATAACCTATAAAAATACTTAGTGGGTACCGAGCCCGAGGTATACCCGGGTAAGCTAGAGAAGTAGAAAAAAGAACTCTTAATAACTAAGCTAATAACTAAGCTATAAAGATAATTTGTAGCTCGTTAGATAGCTAAAAGCTAGGACTTTAAGGTTTTTATTAAAAAAGTTTAAATATTACTATTATATTATCGTAAAGGTTATTACTAAGATTCTTCTAAGATTAATAATAACTTTTTAATTAACTACTTTCTAAGTAGGTTTTTAGAGTTTAATATACTATATACTATATAAATAAGAGACATTTGAAGTTATAGCTTAATCGAACTTATAGATATAAAGTTATTAGTATTCTACTTCTTTTACTTTTACTAAAGGTTAAATTTGATTTCTATAAACTATATACTCTAAATATTTCTAAAATATAAAGATTTAATTAGATTAACCTAATCTAGAAAATAATAATATTCTAGAAAAGTCTTAACCTTATAAAGTTAGAGTTATTTCTAGCAAAGAGTAATAAGTCGAGGTTTTTCGTATTTCTACCCTTACTTTTTAAGCGAGGTCTAAGCTTCCTTTATTACTCTTCTAGCCGCATTACACTAGGCTTATAAGTAATTCTTATTATTATTTTATAATACTATAGAGCTAATATAAAGCTATCTAAAGAACTAAAATTTATTATAATAGTTAGAAAAATAAGGTAGTTATTAGATAACTAAAATAGTTACTCTAGTAACCGTAGCGTATATTAGGTAAGCTTATACCTTAAGATCTTACCTTTTGCCTTAGAACTTTCTTTTCTCTTTATAAACTTTTTTATCTAAGCTTTTAAAGTCTTTAAACTAAACGTTTATACCTCTACCTTAGGGTTAGGGTTAGGGTTAGGG